GAATTCTTGCTCAGAGTCGTCAATGAGGAAGCATTCCGCATGAATCAGTGATCCTTCACTTGTGCAGCGGAAATACCCTTACTCCTTTGTCAGAGGATGACTTTTACGCTCCTAGAGTCTTTTAGTGCATTAAACAATACGTGTATATACTAATATGGTCTCAAGTCTTTACAGACTTGGTGAGACTTAACTTTAAGTGCGGGTACAAGCTGGCATGCTTTTGGTCCTGGTCCAGGGAACTGATGTCTCCAAGGAATGAAGTAACACTAATGCCCAGGAGTACAAGCCTTAATACAGGCTCTTTAACCTGATGATCAGAGAATTCTTAGGAAGATGCGTCCTGAAAGTTATTAAGAGGAGAGCAGAATGTATGTACTAATTTTGAGCAATAGCAATACTCAACATATTTAACGCTGCCATGATTCTACCTGATCAATTAGTACTCATGGAGGTTCACCTGATGTCATGTAGCAAGAATTACGCCATGGTTTGCACACTATTACGATAGATATCATCAATCCTTAATCAGTATGGTACGATATTACCTCTCAGCGTATGTAATGCAATAATACGCCTACCAGTTTCACTGGTCTCTTTATGTGTGTGTCACTAGCATACCTAATTATCACAATTGTTTGTATAACCCCGCTTCAAATATGCCTTTGGAAGAGTGACTAATTACGTAGTAAGCGAATGTCATGTACTTACCAGATCATCGAACATATAACTAGGCATAATCCGATTAGTAATAGTTGCAATAACGCATTGTCTGAGGCGAAGTATACACTCACGCACTATTATAGTACATCCGAATCAACGACCACTAGACATGCAGTTGTGGAAAAGCCTTCGCGGTTAATGTACGCATTAAAAGGGCGTTGTCAGCCGGTTTTCGAATGGCAAAGTGAGTGCCATATATGTGGCACCTACCACAAATCCTATTCCACGGCGCTCTCGATACCCAACAGGGGTTTTCTATTAGCCAGTTGAATCCTGAGCGCAGGGAAAGCTTACAACCCTTATATACATCAGTTTCATTATAAGATGAGCTAACTCGTTGCAACAAACGTGTGCTGTCTCTCTCTTCACTCCAAATAAACATGCTTCGACTCGAAAAGCTTTATCGCAATCACAATTCGATTGAAGCCCTGCTTGACAGTGGAGCATCGAAAAGCATCGTCAATGGTGCGACACTGGCAAGTATTGTGAAACCGGGTCGACATGATGTTATAAATCACCGACTGTATCCGACACTATGCGCGGCTCAATACCAAACAAAGGAATGGTTGCAACACAGTTCATTTTCCCACAACATAAGCCAGACACAATCATCACGCACCAATTCGAAGATCATGAAGTTTAGCAGCGATAACATGGTCATCGGAAGAGATGTCATGAACGCCCTAGTACTGATTTTTGAATTCAAAAATTACGGCGTACGGTGGGAAGACTGTTTGCTTCGGCTAAACACGGGGCAACACACGGCGAAAAGACTCGTGACGGATCTAGATAAAAAAATTACGGAGAAGCAAAAGATGTAGCCACGACGGAAGTCCAGACTGAGGCGTTCCTACCTGATCACCTTGCCGCCAACATGAAGACTACATGCTTAGCACTCTCGTCTAGTACAAAACGCTTTACAACGGACACCTCGGACGAATGCGCTTTCCCAACTATAAGCTGCCGATTCAAGTGAATTACAAGCCAGTTCATGTGAAGGCTTTTCTATTGCGCGCAGAAAATAAAGTAAAGTCAAGGAAACCATTCAGCGGCTTATCAATTTTGATGTGCTCAAACAAATTTATGACGCGGAAATGGCCTCGACCATTATCTTTCGTCACCAAGCCTGATGGATCACTACGTCTTTTAAAACGACTACTGTGGACTTAACGAGTATCTACGAAGGAGTCCATACCACGTGCCACGCATTTGATAAATACTTATGCGCTTGTCCAACGCAAGGTTTCTATCAATATTTGACGCAAACCATGGATACTATGCCCGGTGCATGGTTTAAAGAAGTCGCTTACTTACAGCTTTTAGTTTGCCCTTGGATATATACCGTTATAAGCGACTACCGATGTGTACATTGACAGCCCCTGATGAAAGCCAAGCGTGCATGGATCGCATCTTTGGCGACCTGCCGTTCATCATGGTATACCTGGACAACCTTATAGTATGTTCCAGTACATATGAAGATCATTTCGCGCTTTTGAGCATTCTCTTCGAGCGCCTGCAGACCTATGGCGTGTCGCTAGACGAGAAAAATCCATATTTGGTGCAAGGAGGTGCATTACCTTGGGTTTACGCTAGGGATTGGAGCCGCAAAAAAATACAATCCAGGCCATTCAGAAGATCGCAGAGTCACGCAACCGGAAAGAGCTTCGATGTTTTATGGGCATAATCAAATACTACCGAGACATGATTCCAGACAAGACAACCTTGTGGAACCGCTTTATTGGTTTACAAGCGACAAGGCACCCTTTACATGGCTACCCAGAGATACGAAGGCCTTTCAAAACATTAAGCGTGCATTTGCGGAAGCCGTCCTGTTAGCGTTTCCTGATCCCAAGGATCCTTTCCATGTATACGAAGATACTAGCGGAACCCAGAAAGGTAGACTTATCGTGCAAGGCACTATTACGAGCTCAGTCTCACCAAACACTATATGAACTATACCAATATGGAGCTGAATCTGCTTTCGATTGCTGAGCTTTTACGCGAATACCGAACGATTTTCCTCGACTTTCCAGTTGTGGTCCATACTGACCACAAAAATTTGACCTTTCCCTAAGAAACAAGGGTTCGAGTGAAGCGGTGAAAATTTCCCCTCTCTGAGTATCGGCTGACGATGAACTATATCAAAGGTGACAAGAATGTTGGAGCAGATGCCTTCTCCGCATGCGATTTGAGAATAATGAAGTTCTGTAGCGTAACGATGAAGTCTAAGCGCTAATAACGACGCTGGAGTGCATAATGCATGACCCTGTTATCTGTCAGCACCAAGAAAACGATGAAATGATCGCATCGATCAGAGCATCGTGTCTTGCAGGGACCAACAACCCGAACAATTAGCTCAAGGTTCTCTTGGGATGCACTATGGTTGGATATAATAACAGAGTAATCGTCCCTGATAGCCTACGTGAGGACCGGATCGACTAGCACCACATGAATATCGGACATCCAGCAAGTCATCGACAATACAAAACGATGCAAAACATCTTTTATTGACCGCACATGGAGACAACCATCACCAAATATGTTCGCTAATGCATTACTTGCAATCCCAACGAGTTGCACGGAGGCAAACAAGTTTACGGAATTCTTCCACCGCGCAATAGAAGAACGGGCAACCCGTTTAATATTGTCCATGTTATCTCACTGGACCATACGACAGCGGCTACTACAGATTACCAATAATTAATCAAGCGACTAGTGGCTTGAAGTTTCTGTACGTCCTAATAAAGAAATGCTGACGAAAGCTGAAAGTTTTGACCGCGAGTGGCTTTGCCGCTACCTACGTCCAAAACAAATTGTCCGCGACCAATCCTCGGACAATTTGTCCGATTGGGGTTTATAGATGAAAAAATTCAGTAGTTAGTACGCAGTAACAGTTTAAAATCAAAGCCTATCAGTGCCAACAACCCTTAATCTTATGCTACCTGTGAGCATGTGCATGTGGAATTATCGAACTTTATCCGTTGTCACACAGGCGCGAATTGAAAATAGGTTATTCTTGATGCCGCTTTTGCCGTGCGTGCAAGCTACCACAGCATCCTCAATGCATCGCCTGGACAACTCATTTTTGACCAAGACCTAATTTTGCGACAAGTGCGCGAGGCTAATCAGATGTCTCTGTCGAAACGGCGGCGTAAAGCTATCCTAGCTGACAATGCACACGAGAATACTAAACGGCTCGTGCACTCCTACCGTCCCGGTGATCACGTATGATCTGAAGACCGAACCAATTTCGTGCAAAAACCAAGGAAGTGTCAGGTGGGCCCCTATTTCATCAGCACTGTGCATGAGAATGAAACCGTCACTATTGACAAAGGTAAGGACAAAGTGCATCCGCACGCCCATCGTAATACATCATAGCAGTTTGTAACAACTAGCACAGGTCCTAACTTTCGAGTACCGCTCCGGATCAGAGCTCTTTCTCGACAGAGCCGGGAAATTGGGTTCAACTGACGTGAAACACCTCGACTTTTTGATTTTCGGTGTACCTTGGGACGTCTTGTTCAATATGTGTTGCGAGTGCGTGTCATGAGTGGCTTACGTGTAGAGAGCTGGTATCGTAGCAGGGGGGGACATTGCCACTCATAATGGGTGCAATAACCGAGTGTGTGAAAAGTCTCTGGTTTTTATCGCACAACTATTAGTTGAGATTTCAAAGTACCTTGGGATGTACTTTGACTCTTTAAAAGGTTTGATCAGAGGGTAAATGAGAGGTTAAACAGGTGTTTTATATTCTCTTTAAAAGCAATGCTTTTAGACCGTCTCCGTGATAATTCTGCTCGAGTGCGCATCGACTGCTCGGCGAAGCTGTGCCAAGATGCTTCGTAGTTTCCTAAAAACGTTAAATCGTTATAATCGATTGTATCATCCTCGTCTTTCTAGCGAACAAACATAACTTTACTTTTACGGAACCTTTTTCTATGCCTTACTTTTGTACTTTAATTTCGAAATCGTGCAACAAACTGTACTATATTTCAACAATCCATTCCAATTTTAGTGATCACTTACGCTAAAATAGGATAGGATGTTTAGAATACCGTATCGACCGTATCTCGCCATCAGAAGAGATTGACAAAAATACGGTTAGATGTCGCGATGCCGGGTGACAAACAAATCGATTCTTCACCCTATTCATTTAGAGCACTCTTTTCAACCAGTATCCAGTCGCCTTCCACTGACACTCACTACTTGTATGCCAAGTCCACCCTCTCTATTAACCGTAATCCACCATGTGACTCTATTTTCCGCTCTAACCACACGAAATGGCCCGCACGAAACGCAAACGCGAGGACGACGACGGCAAGCGCTTTGCCGACCCGTACTTACTCACGACCCGGCCCTGTCGGTTCGCCGACCACCACCGGAGCAAGGCGCGGGGAAGCAAGAGCTCCAGCATCGTGCGCAACTGTACAGACAACCCGAACTGTCTCTACGGACTGGGCGAGTACCAGACGGGCGTGTGGCAGACGCCAAAGCTGCTCCAGCGGGTTTTCGGCGACGACCCGCGGGTTCGACAGCGCAAGCGGGTCAACCAGACGCTGCAGCCTGTTGGATTACGCAATCTAGGGGCCACCTGCTACTTGAACAGCCTGTTGCAGTGTTTATTCGCCAATCCGTGGCTGCGAAATGCCGTCTACGAGTGGGAGCCACGAGAGGAGCTACGGAACAAGGAACAGACGGTCCAGATGACGGCGTTGCAGAAACTCTTTGCTCAGATGCAATTGGGCAATGAAAACTGCTACGACCCTGCCGAGTTTGCGTCCACGTTGTTACTGAACAATGTCATGCAGCAAGACGCACAGGTATTTCTATATATGAGGAGAGAGAGAGACAGTCTTTTTGTCTGTTTGTTTGCATGGCATTTTTGCATTATTTGTGATTGCTGGACTTTTAATTTCTATACGATTAGGAGTGGGTTTGGATGTATACTTTAGTGGTGGCGCTATTGGTCTTGGTGTTGTGCTCATTAATTTATGGTTGTTTGCATTACTTTGTGCGGCAGGAATTCAGCAAGTTATTATTGACGCACTTGCGCACGATCTTTCGACAGTCGCGGCTGCCGAGGCAGTGGGACTTGGTAGATCGGATTTTTCAGGGGCAGATGAATTATGTGACCAAGTGCTTGAAGTGCAAGAACAAATCCATGCGACCGTCTTCTTATTACGAGATCTCGCTGAATATTAAGGGACATCGGAGTGTCGAAGACTGCATTCAATCTTATTTGGCAGCCGAGGTGCTGGAAGGAGAGAACAAGTATTTTTGCGAACAATGCGCTACGAAGCAGTCTGCTGAGCGCTTTATGGAGCTGAATCCGCGAGCGTTGCCGCCGACTTTAATGGTCCAGCTTATGCGATTTGTCTACGATGCGAATGCTGGACGTAAGAAGAAATTAACGGTGTGTTTGGAGAATGAGATTTACTGAGATTTACTGAAGTAGATTATCTAATGCATGCGCTATAACACTTGACGTTTACAGGATGTTATTGAGGTTGATGAGACACTGAACCTTACCGAGTTGCTGCGTCGCAGTGGTCAAGCAGACGCGTTTGATGATTCTGTCGATGTTGTCTACCGTTTACAAGGTTATTTGAATCACCGTGGAAAAAGTGCGCATGCTGGACACTACACTGCTTCCGTAGCCTACCCAGCACCACGGGTGCCTAGCGACAACAGTGACTCGGTAGCGGGGTGGTTTGAATTTGATGATGGGGTGGTAAGCGATATGACCAGATCAGATGTGGCAAAAGAGCATAGTCATGGTGCGAAAATTTGCTCGCGAGATATATACATGCTTCTTTATGTTCAAGATGATTCAGCAAGCACCAGTTGTGACCGCCTTGGCGATGCGAATGAGATTCTGTTGCCTTCCGAAAGTTGTCAAAAGGAAGTGGAGGTACTCAATGCTGCTTTTACTGCTGAAGTAAATGCGTACGTTCGCAAAGTGAGTGGAATGGAAGCTCGTATTCAGGAGCGACTTGCTGCGTACAAACGCTTTTTTGAAGAAAGTTACCCTTACCCAGACACGTCCGAATCTCATTTTTACTGGGTGGATTCTGAATGGTTGCGTCGCTGGGTGACGGGAGAGAAATATGATGGGTCCGATAGCTCGTTGTCACTCTTGTCTTGCGACACGTCTGATGTCAAAGCATCGTCGATTCAACAAGTATCAAAACCGAGCACATCTGACGAACGAGGGGGCGAGGACAGCGATGAAAGCGACTGCGTTATAGTTGATCCTTCTTACGCAGATGCTGCGACATCGGACGAGAAGAGCGACGGTAGTGTGTGCACATTGAATGGTTCGTACGCTAGTGAAGTCAGTCGTGCACGCTACGGCGATGGTGACGCACACACTAACGCCCAGATGCCTCCGGCGTATTCATGTCGTCTGATTTCCAATGGTGCAGCTGTCATGACAAAAATAGCTGGGGCTAGCGAGTCGCATGACGACGACATTCCCTTCATGGAGCCAGTTGACGTAGGACCTCTTTCCTGTGTGCACTCCCATGATCTCGACCTCGGCGTGAGGTGTCTCGAGGAGGAGCCTACCCGCCCTGTTCTTCGGTTTGCACCTGATAATGCACCTAGGTTGAAGCGCATATCGGCCAAGTTTTTTTCTTACATAGAGGAAAACTGTGGCGCTAAGCCATTTCCAGCACTTGAGGGCCACGCGCAAAGGCGAGTGTTTGAAGCCCCTACATATCGGTGCATTGTTTGTGAAAATGATTTTAACAGCAAACTTGTGAAAGATTTCGACCGCTTGCGTGAAGTTGGCGAAGAGCTTGTGCTACTGAAGGCAATCCCTGTAGATGCGACGGCTGCAGTCGCTGCTGGAAATTACTATCTGATGAGCCGAGCGTGGTTGAAAAGCTACAAAAGTCATCTTCAGATGTTGCATAAAGAGCTCACTCGCGCTTTTTCGCAAAGCAAGAAAGGGAAAATGCTAACATATTCGAAGATGGATGATTTTTGTACGACGGGGAGAGATGAGGACGTCAATAGCAGTCATAGAATGAGTGGCGAGTGCGGCAAAATGGAAATGTGGCAAACACCCATCAACAAAGATATCACGTGCTCGCATGGCAAACTAACGTTGGAAAAGCGATTATATCGGCCGGTAGCGGCGGAGACATGGGCATACTTTAGCACTAAGTATCCATATCATGCTGCATACGCTGCGAGAGCAACCGACTCGTGCCTGCAATGCCAGATGGACGATGTGATCAATAAGAAGTGCATTGAAGTGGAGCGTGGTGTGCGTGACGAGGTAATATCAATTGCTGCTTTGGAGTCTTTGTTTCGCCGCAAGCCCGAAAGAGGATCTGTTCGACTAAGCGATATGTTAGATGTGACTGGTGCTCAAGGAAGCAGTGGATTCAAGAAGGTGTCGCCATGGATGCCACAATATCCAAAGAGGCTACCTGGGCGGATGTTTTTGGTGTCTCGTAGCTGGATAACGCAGTGGAGAAACTATATTCGCAACGTGAGTGAAAATTTGCCGCTTAAGCTCTCATCGTTTTGTTTGTTGTGCATGCACCAAAAGTTGGTACTTTCCCCCGGCTTGTTGGCAGCACAAGGGGGACAACTCGTTGATGCAAGCTCGTTAGAAGTAGAATTCGCGACAACGGAAGAAATGCGAGCGCTAGCTGAGCGTTATGGCAACCCCGAGATGCCATTATATTACGGATTGCTTGTTGCTACTATCATTCCAGAGTCTGGCGAAGAAGAAACACGTGTCGTCTGGCAAAAGTGCTCACTAGCCTCTTTACAGCTTGAAAACGAGCAACATTTGAGCAGCGTTGGCCGTCTTGAGGGCACAGTGCCCCTGCATTGTCATGATGCAATGAACGATACTATTATTTGCGTGGAATGTCAGGCAAACTCGGACCAAAGACACCGCAACGAGCTTGAAAATTTCACAAACCGCGTTGTCGACATCCAGCAGCTGCACGATGATCAAGCTGTACCAACAAGTGAGAATCTGACAATCGGTGTGAATGCGTCTGGTCGACGACGTTCCAGACGTGTTTGTCAAGGTTCGGCGTGTGCGTGGCCGATAGTAGCCAACTCTACTGATACCGTGTACATACTCAAAGCAAAAATTTACGCTGAGATTGATGCGCTTCCTACGCGTCAACGTCTGTACTACAAGGGTGAACCCCTGGAAAATTTTCGTACGCTTAAAGAATTGGGGTGAGTTTGACCTACCATGGGTTTGATGAAGTGTTGTAGCTGACTTTTCTGTCACTCGTGTGTGATTAGGATTAAAGCCGGAGACGCTGTGTTTATGCGGTTGTCCGACGACAGTGCTGATGATCTCGTAATGGAAGAGAGTCTAGAACGTGAGGTCGGTTTTGTGAATTCGGTCTTTTATTCGAACCCTTCGGCCAGCAGTCGAGTGGCGACCCCACCTGCAACATGTGAAAATCGAGCTTTGGCTATTACGGGAAGTCATAGAACTCGTGTGTGGGTGTGTCCCGCCTGCACGTATGTCAACGATGACATCGACATAGTTTGCGAGATGTGCTGTACGACAAAAGATGGAAATTCGGGTCGTCATGGAGAATGAATGCAATTTGGTACTGAGATAATTGTCATGTGGCGATGAGGTGTATGATGATCACGTGCTTCTATAGGCAGTGTCGATATTGATACTGCAGCACATCCTGTACAATAACGACTTTTTAAATGTTTTGGAAATCGCAAGAGTTGAAGTCGTCATTCAATCGAAAGGAGCTTTGGCCTACCATTCGTGGATTGTATCAAAAGCCTAATTTTGTTCCGGTGCAATTGCTGGAAAATAGCTGCCGATTAAACTTTTGAACGTAGGTGGAATGGTTCTGCTGGACCGAGAGAAAACGAATTCGACACCGCCTTTGGAGTTGAGAGGGCATAAACTGCAAAGGTTTCGAGATGGACGCACCGAGCAAAGTACTGTGAAGTTTGATGGTGGCATCTTGGTGGTGTTGCTAGCGAAGCCAAGAAGCGGGCTGTACCAATAAATGCACGCGACGACGCTTGATAAGCGCGCAGAGATATTATGTGATTCCATGGTAACGTTTGATGAGGCGGAAAGAACCAAAGCTCAGAATTCTTCATTGTCGTATTTCGCTGGCTGAATGAAGTTGTGATGACCTGAGTCGCGATCCGTGGTGCGGACACAAGAGATGGTGTTATCGTACATTGATAGCTTGCTGTTAGCATTTTGCGAGGCACGTTGTCGATCAGAGTTGATGCAATGTGGATACACGGATGTCGAACGGCTGGTCTCTTTCTCGTCTGCGCCGTGCTGTGTCGAGTTGATCAAATATTGCTGCAAGTAAAGGAGTTGTCATCCAAGTGTTTTTTGTCATTGGCAAGTGTCGTTTGTTGAATCGTCTGGTGAGCATCGGCACGCAGATGTTGGAACCAGATGAGCTGCTCATTAGTACGGGTGTCCCGATTTGGTAGTCGCGTCGCAACGCGAGTTTGAAGTCTAAGGACAAATGCTGTATAGCCAACGCAACGAAATCGCAAAGGCCAAGAACTGGATACCGTTGTGCGTGCGAGAAATGGCCACTGGGATGGTAGATCTTGTCACCTAAACGCGTAGCTTCTAGCTTATCGAATCTCTCCCTCCAATTGTCTGTTTCCGACCTACTCCAGAAGCACGTCGATCCCTGAGGGAACTGTCTGGTTTTCCGAGTCATGTTGGATGGGTGTTCAAACGGACTTATTGATGGTCAAGAGTGGAGAACACTTAGTTTGCAACATGTCATAGCCACCGCACGCATTGTGGCGCCGACAGAACAGGCTAAACTCGGTTGACAAGCAACCACGTGCTTCACGATGTTAGCGGTGTTCAGTGGAGCAGCCAAGACGATCTTCTGTCAGTGAGGCCGTGCACCAAGAAGCTGTCGGCAAGTCTGTTGCTACCGGGACATCCGGCTTGCATGTTCAATGAATCATAGTTTGTGATGCCCACTCCGTTGAGCATCCCGCTTTCTTTCATGCAGAATCGATGCACGCACTTGCGCTGGTCAAAACGATGCTAAGCGCAACGTGCATCATGGCACCTGAGTTTCCCTACCATACAAGTGCCTCGCTGCTCTTACCATCTCACATGGCTGTCGTCAACACAAGATAAGCGCATCTCTCGTCTCACTTCATGTGCTGGATGCTACTCACACGACATTGTTCGACCCGATCCTAACACCTTCTCACCTTTCTCGGACTGCCATCCTGATGAACCTCGGGTCATACATAGCCAAAGAAAACCCAGAGCTCGCACTGCTCACAACCGTCGCCCAGGCTTTCGTGCAATCGACAAAGCGAAGGTTCATGCCAATCACCAATAAGATGACTGGCCGTCGTTCGCTCTCATCCAGCAAATACTCACAAGCTTCCTCCTCGACACGTTCACACATCGACACGTAGCTTATCCACACCTAGGGACACTTCACACTCGTCCCGTGCAATCCAGCTCCTTGTCCTATTGCAACTTCCTCCATTTTACAATGCGTCTCGCAATGAGGCGTCACATCCAAAGGCTTCGACCTGCATCCTTCAGCACCACCAATACGTCGTCTTCAACGTATTCGTCCTCGCGCTTCCACCCTGCTGCATACGCAGCAATTGGAGGCTGTGCAGCCATGGCAGCTGTAGCCGCCTATAACGGTGTATCACCCCACGAGTGGATCATTCGACAGCTCATGGATCCGCTCATGCCTGTCCTTCGACTGTTTGACCCCGAGGTGTCGCACCAAATTGCAGTGCAGTGTGCACGCCTTGGCCTGACGCCGAAAGATCCGGCACTTGACCCGAAGCTGCTGCACGTCAAGGTGCTGGGCCTTGAGTTCACCAACCCGTTAGGGATTGCTGCTGGCTTTGACAAGGACGGAGACGCCGTGCAAGGTCTCGTGGACATGGGCTTTGGCGCCGTGGAGATCGGCAGTGTCACGCCTGAGCCACAGCCGGGAAATCCGAAACCTCGCGTCTTTCGCTTGTGCGAGGACCGGGGCGTGATCAACCGCTACGGATTTAATAGCAAAGGCCTCGAGTACGTTGGTACTCGTCTGGCCACCTACACGAGCACCCGAGAAAAGGGCCAAGCAACTAGCAGAGACCATCGTGCGGGTGTCCTTGGGGTCAATCTAGGGAAGAACAAGGCGACAGAAGACGCAGCAGCTGACTATGTGCTTGGAGTGCACGCTCTTGGTCAGTTCGCCGACTACTTGGTAGTTAATGTCTCGTCGCCCAACACCCCGGGTCTCCGTGCGCTGCAAGGGAGAGAGCAGCTGAAACAACTCCTCGAACGAGTACTTGAAGCTCGAGACGAGGTCGCAGCTACAGCGAAGCGCGAGATTCCGCTCCTCGTGAAGATCGCACCGGACCTGACGGAAGCAGACAAGCAGGATATCGCGAAAGTCGCTCTAGACCTACAGCTGGATGGTCTCGTGGTTTCCAACACAACGCTGAGTCGACCTGAGACCTTGAAAGCAGCTGCCAAGAGCGAGGCGGGCGGGTTGAGTGGCTCCCCTGTGCGTGATTTGTCTACCAAGGTGCTAGGGGACATGTACAAACTCACGAAGGGCCGAATCCCGCTCATTGGCGTTGGAGGTGTCTCCACTGGCCAGGACGCTTACGACAAGATTCGGGCCGGAGCTTCGCTCGTGCAGATGTACTCGTGTCTGATCTACGACGGTCCTCTGGCTATTCCACGTGCTAAGCAAGAGCTGGCTGCGTTGCTACGTCGTGACGGCTATGAGAGTGTAGTCGATGCTATTGGCGCTGCCCACAAGTAGATGATGCCGGGTACAAAAAGAGAGCCACTGTTGCTGCTTCTCTGCTTTGGCTCCTGTTTCCCATTAGCCTGAAGTCTCACCATGCGCTTCTACAATGTCGCTGGACGAGTTCTGGTTCGTTGGAGGTACGTTAGAGCGAGGTGTGTCTCGAGTATGAAGGAACAACTTGTTTACATCTTTACCGTTGGAGTGTTATTGCAGTTCCTGAAACCATTCTTTGACTTGCTTCGCTGCCTAGGTCGGTAGAGCATCGATCGTGTTTGGGCTCACGGAGTAGGCATTAGCCCTCTCTCTTTGGTTAGATGACAAGATGCAGGTGTGACCAATGTCATGAGCTTGCTGCAGAGACGATGACGCCCTGCGATGGATCATCAAGAGTTATCGTCAGTTCGATTGTCACTCGCGTAGCAAAAGGTGATCAGACATCAGATGCTGAAAAAGCACTGAGTCCATCTGAATGCATGCGTCGAATATGCATCGTCGAGAGGCACTTCATGAACAACACAGTCGATACGATACATCTCACGACTTGACTGGTATATTTGCTCAATCATGTAGAGGTCTACATGATTGAGCAAGCTAAATGTCATTTATTACATTTTGAAGCGGTACCTGCTAGCACTTGACACCAAGTAATCGCAAATCAACAAACACGACGCGGCGTTTTTGGATGGGTGACTTATCGACTGCACATGGCTCCTCCGACCCACACTACTTTTTCGGGTGACAGATGTCGCACGTTTTTTTCATCAAACTGTTCACGGTCTCGACCAGTGCACCCCGGTTGGTCTTAGCAAACGCTTCTTCTGTCTCCTTTCGCAGTGTCTCTCCTCCTTTCGCAGCTGCATACTGTAAGGTGAAGAAGGCCTTGACAGCGTGGAACTGAGGTATGTCGTGACTCATAGTGAGCGCGTTTCTACCGCCATGATGTACATTTGATTCCGAGACATTTGAAGTGTCTTTCCATCGGCGATACGGTGCGCAAACAGCTTTTCCTGCATCGACTTGACAACTTCTTTAGGTCCGTGCCTTCAAGTATTTCTTCAAAGAAAGCGCCATAACGCACGTTGTGACCATACAGTGTTGCTTCCAGCAAATCTTTCACTGCACCTTCGAAGTACATGCTGTCACCCTTCTTCGGTCTGCTCAGCTCGACGAATTGCAGTCATATCTTCAATCCACCCTTCCAAGAGTGAACCACGTCAAGTACGTCCTTGGAGTTTATCCCGTCTTGCTTCCACACCTCAGTACGTACCTTACGTAGATCACCGCTTCTGCCGCACAGTGTTTTCTGAAGATCGTCGGCGCGTGAGTTCATGTCAGGGCGGGACCGAAACCAAGGAGGAACTTCACCTAGTTCACCAAGTCCTTATGCAACTTCGTTCCTATCAAGTCAGCGAGAACGCTGTTGTCCGACCTGGAACTTATAACAAAGGGTGTTCCCTTTCGAACATTTTCTTCCAACGCCTTGAACTAAGCAGCGTTCAGGTCCGTCATGGACGTGGGCATTCATATGTAGTGAAATGGTCGATTCCTGAACCACAACACCAACTCTTGTGCTCGCGCTCGAGACAGAGACCAATTGAAAGCTCTCTCCTCCTCGCCCTGCTCGGCAAGTTCGGCCGTGCCCTCTGCTCTGACTACACAAATCCATGTTATCATTCTTTTTGAGTCGTGAGTTGCTGTCGATTTGACAGATGACAGATGAGAGCGGTACATAGCATCTTGTCCTGCGTCGAGTGAGCTCCAAGTACGCAATCAATATTCGACGACAACCACGACCTGCTCGCGTCTTCACCTTTTTCTTTCAAAACAGAAGTAGGCGTGCTCACATTGGATGTGTCACCGCCGCCAGTACTACATTTCTATGAGTGGATGTGGGGTGGTGCAGTTCTCGATGAAGAGATGAATGGCGCTAGTCTGCACGTAGGGTTGCCAGATGGAATCACCCCCACAAGGAGCAAGACGACCCCAAAGGCCATTTAAACACTCGAGTGATTGCGGGTAGTGTACAATTACGCCATTATGATCAAATGCAACAGCCCGTCGTCACGAGGTGACTGAGGAGCTAAACGGCAGTATTGCGGTCGCTGCTATTGACATTATTGCAAAAGTGCCTACTGCTCATGATGGTGCTGTCTCTTAAGCTCTGCTCGAAAGTCTTCGGATCCTTTACAGCGCAAAATCGTTGCCACAAAATTCACTTCTGGACGCAGCCGAGCTCGATCATCTCGAGTGCATTGTGGCACAGCCGCGTTTGCGATCGACTGTTAGATTAAAAGTCTCCCGAATATGATGGCGCCACGTCATCAAGCACCACGTCAGCCTTGAGTCTTCTTAGTGCTTCACTCAGCTGTTCCTCACTCTTGCATGGCAAAGATCATCCACGAAAATAGCTTTGCCTACCACGAGTTCATTTTGCTAAAGGTCTACGACCACAACTTTCGGTAGTGAATTCCGAGTCTCCGCCCTCTGTTGCTACTGATCTTTTTCGCTCTTCAGTGTCATTCAACCACATGTGGCGATTGTTGACGGCCCGTATGTGTAGTGAAAGCGTGTAGAATTTGAAAATGCGATTTAGTGATAGTGGGGCTTCGAGGACAGCTTGACCGAGCAGTAAAGGCAACAGACCAGAAATCTATTGTAGTAACTCGCGTAGATTATAATCTCACAGCTGTCGGACACATTTGGTCGTTAGGATGCTGATAAACCACACACAGGCAGCTGGCGTCTGTGCCCGATGCTTTGTCTTGCCTGCCAAGATTACAATTGGAGTGAGATGTGTCTCGCTCACGGTCCCATCACTTGGTATCCTTTCCAAACATTTGTCTACCTTTGGACGCCAAAATGCCATCTCCAATACCCTTGGTTCCAGCCCAGTAATCAGACCGGATGTGCGTGCCATCTACTGGGTGAAGTTTTAAAGCATCCTTGCTCTAGAGGATTCACTCATGTGAACGGGCCCACGTAGCCACAAATACGCGATAACATGAATGGAACAATGCTCATCGTGTGTAGGCGAGGAAAAGTTTGTACATCGACAGACACCAAGTGGCAAAAAATTATAATAAAAAACGATAGTCCATGGTTAAGAGATCTCTTGGATGGTCATCAGCGACCACTTTCAGGTAGCAGTACGTTTGTTAGAAGAATTTGGCGTGTTTCCAAAGGATGTGGATGACCTTTAATTTGATGTCCCTACTATCCTCGATCCACTGCGTGTCGAAGCCACGCAGCCATATTTGGAGGCCTAGGAGGAGTAGACTATCATGAGCCCGATAAACTCTCGCTGCATGAGCGTCATCCAAACATCTTCATCGGCCGCCATCTTCGAAACTCACCACATAAATCCTTAAATCATCGGGTGGACTATAACACTGAAATGCGATGATGTTTGCGATACCAATATCGGACCTGCTCAGTCGTGCTATGTAACTCGGATTTTCTAAGCTAGCTTATACCAGTGGCACCTTAATGGAGGCGACGAGCAGAAGATCCGGATGCATGGGACCCCGGCGAGACCCGACAATAAATACAGCCTGTATTCGTGTCCACTGAAATACGTACCGAAATGGGATTATGATTTGAAACGATAAGACGTAACGCTTGCCAATGTTAGGAGGTGGATGGTGATGCGGACTGTCTGCTATCATTCCAGAGCATGTGGTCCATTTGTATTGTTCGCATGGTGCAACGTTATTCACTGCTGTCGATTGGCCAAATGTCAGAACAAATGCCAATTATGACTCAAAAGTGAATGATTATATGTATTTGTATAATTGGAAACAGAGTTGGACACAGGTCGACAATCAGGTGATATGTTAAACGCGTTCCATCATTACATGGCCGACACCAATCAAAACATCTCTTCTATGCCTCCGGGATGCCTTCAATTAATGGAACTGCAACCAGCGACAAGATGGCCGACGAGCTAAACACTACAGGAGAAACTACTTACAAAAGTATGTGATAAAGTATAGCTACCAAGGATGTCGTTTTTGCCAAAGCGTGTCGAAATGGATTAGCACGGCGCATGGACATTTACAGCCAGTATCAAGTGCGCATGGAATGTGTAGTGGAGCTACAAAGCTCTTAGTCAGAGAAAGACTTACGACTGTAGAAGTCACTTAGTTCTACGGAGCTAAGATCCTATTAATTTTTAAAATCTTTATTTCTTCAAACTAATCAACAAATACTCGGAGAGTCTTTAAGCCCGTACAGCTTCTAGTCCTGGTTCAGTTGACTAAAACTTACTCTAGGAATTGTACGTACAATTCTTCTCGAGTATACGACTCAAGCTGACTCTTACTCGTAACGATCTGCTGACGTCTAAAATAGACACGTGTCAAACTAAGATCAAAGAAAAACTAAACCTGTATTTTCTATTTTAATCTGTAACTAGTCTCATTACACTACCTAACATTAAGGAAAAACTGATTCGCATGGTTATCGTCAGTACATTTAATATCGATACTGGTACATCAATCTGTCATCAATGGATGACTGTATATAATCAATCACATTAATCATTGCCGATAAAAGTCGGAATTGTATACCACACAAACAAGGTGATTTCTTTAATACGATAACGGACACGTGACCCGATACGGAAGGCGTTCATTGTAAAAGGATTCTACAAAAACCCACTTACTACATCCAAACGATGTAATCAAAATTTTTCTAGAGTTATCTGCCTGTGCAAGATAACCATTTGGTCAAGGAGCGGTACTCATCAATCGAAAGTGCCATTTTCTTGAACATCTATAAGCAAGCGAAGTGGAACGGTTTGTTTTTTGCATCAATACGAACCACACGCTTGCCAAGTGTGATTTACAAGGGTTTGTCTTGATCGTAGCCTGCGAAAATTTGCACCGTAATAAAAAAAATTACAAACTGAAACGACAACTAATGATTCGAATAACAAGCAAAATACTCGAATTTCGTGCCACTGACCTGACAAATTAAACACGTGATTTGCGTGCCTTACATTACTTTTGAATTTACGACCCCAAAAATACACAACATGAGAAAAAAAACCTGGATGTTTTGCAAGAAGTTCGGCACTATATTATCAGATGATTTACTAAAAATTTATAGGATAATTTAATATATCACCACACGATACAAAATCAAAATCGTCGAGCAACTGGTCAATCTTGTGGTGTACCTATGCATCGTCGCTACATTTTCACACTTATACTACATCGCGTTTTAGAGCAGATAGATTTAAAGTGGAAAGAGAGTACGTCATTCGTGACACCAAGTGATAGAAGTAGTGGAATGTTTCATTACAATAGATACACAAAGACACGGTTGAGGCTTACCACCTTCTCTTACAACGTTTGCATAAGGCCCGCATATTCACTCCTGGATAAAAATGACAGTAATGCAAAATAGCACCAGATATTAACTGCCAAACGTTTTTTATATTGAGAGGTAGAGCGTTGGTCCAGAAATTCATACAGCTCGTCACCTTAGTGGCATAATACACCTGGGAATCAACCACTGGCAGAGGCCAAGACCATTCAAGCCAGCTTGTCCGTCGTTTTGCCACGCTCATGGCGTTCATAAGATCCTGATTGTTTGCATCCATCATTGGCACTGATTGTGCAGCTCTTCCTCGTCCAACAAGGTGTGAATCTCTTTATGAAACGCATCCTCACAATCGTGATCTTTCTTATTGACCGCAAAGACTAGGCTCTTTGTGTTCCAGTAGTAGCGGCGTTAAAGCAGACGAATCGTGTTCCATTCACCGACGGCTTTCACCGTGAAGCTCATAATCAATTACTCGACCACCACGACGCTAAATTTACCACCGAGTCAGCACCACATATTTAATTAGACTGCTGTCCTTGGACAGCTACACAATAAAATGAACAAGCACTACGGAAAGCATCTACATCGTGTATATCTTTATGTAATGCAGCTATAGACATCTCTTTGCGTACTAATGGTTGGTGTGGTCGTGACCACTTCGACCAGCTTAAGCTTGTACAATATCGTGGTCGTCAAACAACGTCATCATTGATCATGAGGATGCTCATCTCCTTCGAGCCAAAGAGGAACTTTAACATGCGCAATAAGTGTAACGGGGTACCCTTTGTATGGATGCCACGAGACTTCACGTACAATAGTATGTGCAGAGGGAGCTAGTCTACTTAACAACCAAGCTTAGTAAAGGGTGAAAAGAGAACTGTATTTAATATAGTTAAGCTATAAATTTAATTTTAATCTTTATCTAACTATTTAAGACTACGTCATCAACAACATGCTCACAACTCATTGCGTGCGTCTAGCAGCGATTGGTGGTAATCTACGGTTGATTTGTCTGATATCAACCAATCTTGGAGCAGCGTATAGATATTATCTAAAAAAGGAGATTACATTCCTTAAACATTATCCATCTTGGATAACATTGGTAGGATAGTGTCATGCTAGACAATGTTCCAATTGATACCGTTTGAAGTCAGTATCATGTAACGGCCTACCCCGTTACATCACCCCCTCTTAAACATCAATCAACCGTTAATTGAATTAAAATTGATTCGGACAGTGTAACCACCGTTCGATCACTCTGGGAAAGGGAGCACTTGTTGGTCAAATCCCATTCATTTGCCAACCCAACGCATAATTTCAAAACCACGTGCGACAGGCACATCTGTTGCGTCTACAGCGGGTACCTCGAGTCTCAATTTAAGACGAGTCTGAAAGAGAGCTCATCTATTCCGGTGAGTCGGATGATGCAGCCGACTCGAAGGCGACTCCTCACGACTGTCAGATCACCCGGGACTGCAAAGGCCAGGTTGACTGGCAATGGTCAACGTTATGGCATCATGTCCGAGATCTTCAGATCGGGTAATTATTCCGACGAATCTCCGCCTCACTCAAGTCCATCCAACGATAGGACGCATGAGGATGGTGTTGATGCACCTATACATCACCACGAGCAAGTATTTGAGGGGTCGGGGTAACATTGGTGTCAGTGCTCATGCTGGCACCACTTATGAGGCCAGGGACCGAAATGTCCTGCGCCACGCTCCTCAAGTAGAGTCTCCTTGGATGCCGTCATCCAGAGAGTTGTACCGGTCGGCCGGCACGACTACCGAACGGGACCGAATCCCTTTGTTCGATTGCAGGAAAATTTGCCCTCTTGATTCTAGAACGGAAACTATCCGTGCTGAGGATGAGTTCTTTACCGATGCATTATTCAAACATCGGTGGTACAACGGTAGCCGTGTACGAGACAGCAAAGCCTTGGTGCAAGGACGGATGCCCTCATCCACAACATCGAGTGCATTGGCCGTGAGGCCTGGATCGCCAAACTTGATGCAGCTCGCATCACGTTTGAGAAACGCAACCCAGTCGGGGAGCGATACAAGTTGCACCGGCTTTCAATAGGGGCAAGATTACCCTATCTCCAGTGGGGTGATTCAATTCCAGGTTGACTAGACAACTCGAACCGTGCCGCTAGGGAGGCCTTCCTCCCTAATGATCCCTACTGGAGGGCGCGCATCTCTTCCGAGATGGCCGAAGGGATCGACACATTTGCAATCCCTGTACTCGCGTTCTGGGAGGTCGTTTTCCGACGGCCCTTCTTCAAACGCAGCGGGTGGGTCTCATCGTACTGCTCGACGAGACCAAGGACATCAACAATTAGCTAGGCACTATGCTTCCAGCTATCCCACGACGGTGGATAGCCACGCCAGCGGAAGAGGTAACTCGCCCGGACGCCATTCACGTCGTGGTGGTTTAAAATACGCTCCACCAGAATGCGTCGACCACCGCCAGTTCCCCTAAGGATGATATGGTGGCGGGAACACCTGATCCGGCTCAAAGGTCGGATCAGCTTGATGTTCAGGAGCTTAAATGTGTGACAGAACAGTTGCGAGATGACCTGACTCATGAACAAAATTGGCGTTATGAGCTTGCGGATCTTGTAAAGTATAATTACAATTTCTTATCGCACGATCGTGTCGCGTTTGCGTTCGCACAACTTGAGTACGAACGTTCGACTCGTTCTCTTCGTGACGAGCTGGCTGCAGCTCGTCGAGACATCGCTCAATTGCGTGAGCAGGCCGCTCCGCTAGTCGACCAGACTGGCCTGTTAGAACGGAACCCTTCGAGGGTGGTCTTGGCTCGTGACCGCGGAGGTTCTCTTCGCATCCCGAAACGGGCTCGTACTGATAGTACGGGCGAAGACGACCGACGTAAGACGTAGGATGCGTACGCATATTACGGGGCAGTTCAATCGTGTATGCGTTGCCCATTTGGCGCAAGACACAAAATGGACCGATGTAATTGGGCATTAATTTACTGCTGCCTTCGTTTGTCACTGCGTGTTTCGGTAGGTTAACTGTAGGCAGTAAAACCAGGTCTTCTATATCAAATGAAAGAACATTTGATCTTCCATGTGTGTCTGCTTTTCTTTTCTGTCTGTCTAATGCATCTGCAATAGAGTATTCTTGAACAAAGCGGACAACCGCTTCGTGAGTCAGCAGAAATTTATCTGCCGATTCATCCTTGTCAACAGCAGTGCGCTTCGTGTGCACTGCTGAAAGAACGTTGTCTTCACCAGTGAGGGCGTCATCGTCCTCACTTTGGCAGTCGTTGGCGATGCTGAATATACCAGCATCGTCGTCATCATTACCATCGATATAGATCGCATCGACATCGGCATCCGTCACGTCAACACCATTGTTGACGGGTGATGAGCAAGAACCAGATCGGCTTTTGTTTAAACGAGTCCACCCCCCCCCTTAAACAAGATTCACACTCTAAGAAGGCGGGTAGACGTGGATGGCGTAGGCCATTCACGAAGAACGGTGTATGCGTTGTCGACGCGTGCACCGAGTTGTTGATGGCAAATTCCGCCATCGGCAAGAACTCACTCCAACTCGTAAACTAGTGGACGTACCCTCGAATTATCTCTTCGAGGACGCGGTCGACGCGTTCCGTCTGACCATCTGTTTCTGGATGGTCAGAAGTTGACATCGTCAAAGTGTTCCAAGTGAACGTAATAGGGGTTGCCAGAACTTTGCTGTGAAGCGGGGGTCCCTATCGGACACGAGTTCACGGGGTAACCCGTGAAGTCGGAAGATAGTATCGATGAATAAACTAGCACAGCTCTGGACTGTGGTCAACTCCGGTACAGCAACAAGATGTACCATCTCGCTCAACCGATCAACAAACAAAAGAATATCAGTATTCTTGTGAGTGTCTTTGGGAAACACAAAGACGAAGTCCATCGATATGGGCTGACAACACTCTGCCGGAATCGAAATAGGCTGTAAGGGTGCGCGGGATGAACGACTAGGCTTTACCCGTTGGCAAACTTCGCCAGCGCGAATGTGTTTGCGCACAAAATCATACTGGCGGGGCAAGTAGAAGTCACGACTCACCATGAGGTAAGTCTTTTCTTTATCGCGATGTCTACTTGTTGGGGCATCGGGACACTCACACATCTTGTACAGTCGCATATCATCATGAGCCGGAATGACGACACGAGGTGTGTCGCCGGTAACTGCTGTATAGTACAGCAGTCCATAACGAACAGAATAACGTATAGTTGAGGAGCTGTTTTGAGACGACAAGCTTTTAAAAGCTTAACTGCATAGATTGGATACACATTCCATAAACCGTAGAAGAGGCTCATCTTCTGCGTATCTTTTCGCACGTCGTCGAGCAGATTTGACGACGGAACACTCACTGTTAGTGTCGCGACATTGGGACCCCCCTACTGTTGTGCTGAGCAATTGGCTCAAAATCGGGCCAACGCGAAAGAGCATCAGCGAAGACTTTAAGTCGTCCTAATTTATACTTGACGAGGAAGTTGCGCTCCGCGAAGAAAGACAGCCATTCCTCCATTCGTTGCGAGTGGTGTGGACTGTTTACGGCCGTGCGTAACGACGCAAGGTCGGTATAAACGATGAAGGGCCTATCTCCTAAGAGATTTAACCGAATACTAGCCAGTGCATGTTTCATGGCAATGAGTTCCTTGTCATGCACTGGTAGTTTCACTCCGATGCTTGCAGCTGACGCGATTGATAACAGACGACGCGCTCAGCGCCGTCTGAGTCGTTCTGTAGTAACGCGTAGCCGATAAAAAATCTCTTGCGTCACAGACCACGTGGAATGGTCTATCCTGGTCTTCAATTGCCAACACAGGCTATTCTATCAAGCTTTTCTTGATACCTTCAGAGGAGTGCTGACACTCAGCACTCCATGACCACCTCTCGTTTTTCTTTAGCAGACGATAGAAATGTACGATCATCTCGGCGTAGTTGCGCGAGTACTTGTGCAAGTTAGCCGCCAAGCCAACAAACTTTCGAAGTCCCTTGACGTCGACTGGCACAGGCCAGTCGCTATCCGCCTTGACCTTTTCCAGATCAGGGCGTACACCGTTTTTACCCACGATGCAGCCAAGAAGTGGTATTTCGTTCGCTACGAATATAAACTTATTGAGGTTCGCGAACAACTTACGCTCACGCATTAGAGCTAGGACCTTCCGGACGTGGATTCTATGAACCCCCACGTCCATCTTTCCATCCATAGCCCGGCTATGGACGAAGCCATCGTCGAAGTAGCTCGGTGTGAGGTCGTGCACCGATCGCAACAGGTTCGTAACACATTTGCTGAACGTTGCGGGGGCGTTACCTAGCCCCTGTGGCATCACTAGCCACTCCCAGAGCATACCGCTGGGGGACTCTCTGCTGTGTACGGTATACCGTTAACGCATGAGGATCTGATAGAATTTATCCATCAAATCCATGGACGAGAAGATGGTACTCTTTGCCATACCATCTATGATGACGTCCTTCCTTGGGATTGGCGTTTAATCCGGTACCGTTGCAGCGTTCGATTTGCTGACCGCGTGCACTGTCCGCCACCCTCTTGTGGCCTTCCGCACACAGAAGGTCGGAGATCTGTGTGGGGATGTTGATTCCCTCACATGACCAGCCGCTGAGCAATTGGCAAAGATTTTTTCTATCGCTGTGACCTGTTCACGAGGCAGTGGCTACTGCTTCATGATACAGCACTTCGATCCGGGGTTCAGTTCGATCTTATGCTGAGTTTCTTTGGCCTTAGGCAAACTCGCATGGTACGAATTTAGGGAATACATCCTTGAATTTGACCAAATTCTTATTCAAATGACTTGTCTTCAAAAACTCCCAAGGTTAAGACGTGTATCGCTCAATCCGGGTCTTCTCATCGAGAACGCTCTTATCCATCAATGAGCTACTGAGAACCCTTGCGTCCTCAGTAAACACCTATGCCGACCGAATATTGGCGACGTCCTCGTCCTCTGTGACGAGTACGCAGATCTTCTTGATCTTGTCACTATGCAGATCTCGCAAAAATCTTTTAGATTCTAGCGTTGGCAACTTGATTACCTCTAATAATGACTTCGGAGGTGTGATCAGAATAAGCGTACTAGCGCCTACACTTGATCCGTCATTGACTATGACATTCAATGTCTCTGTCATTTCCTGGGGACTTATTCCCTCAGGCTTCGAAGGACTTATTCCTTCGGCTTCCCGGGGACTTATTCCCGCGGGTTTCGGGGAACTTATTTCCGCCGTATTTGTAATCTTGGGACTTATTCCCTTTACTTCCTCTAGCTGGGGTTGCGCAACCACAGCGAGATCCTCTACGAAAGACTCTCCAGTCGATCTAGGATTATCGTTTCGCTTAACCTGAGCGATCGATTATTTCTCTTCTAGATGTTCCCCTCTAGGGATACATCTTTGTCCCAGTCCACCCGACTTATTCGAGTGGTGGACCTTCGGCGCAGCCTGTGTTTCCTCACAGCCGCCGGAACTTTGCTCCGAAGTGTAACCGTTTGGTACACTAAGGTTTTGTGCAGTCGTACTAACGACCGTACCACAAGTGAGGCCATCGCACTCACTCGTAGTACATCCACACGCTTGTGGACGCTCCAAAACGTTCATCAGATGGCCATCTGATGAACAAGCGGCAGGCATCGTTACTGTTCGATGTTGCCAGTTTACCCGTGGTTCGTACCTTCTGAGCCACGGTATTCCAAGGATTACATCAAATTTGTCATCCAAATCCAATACGATAAAGTCATCGTCATATCGGGTATCTTCTAGCGTATAGTGGATCTTCACTATACGCTTCATGACGGTTACGGATGCGCCTGTCGCAAGACGTACCGTCATCCTCGTAGGAGGTGTGTCACATTCACTGAATTTAAAGTGACCATCTTCTAGCGATTGGCGTCGCACAAAATTGTTGGACGCCCCACAATCGACTAGAGCTCGAAGGGACAACTTATTCGTCACTTCGAGTTTCAAGGTAATGAGTGAGATCTCATTACCTAGAGCAGCAACGCACAACGTTTGTGTGTTGGGAGCAACCTTCATCAAGAGGCCCACAAAATTCTCTTGACGTTGCTGGACCAGTAGGGTGCTCCGCACCTACTGATCCTGTCCGTTTTTTTACGGTCCATCCCGTCGTTGCGTCTTTGCACCAACTGCGGACCCTCGTCCCTGCCCCTTTCTCATGGGTGGACGGTCACTACGCCCAGTGTCGCGAGACACTGGACGAGGGGCACTACACTCGTAAGCGTAGTGTCCTGTCTTTTGACATCTGTTGCATTTCTGCAACTTCTTGTAGCCTGTAGAGCGAGCCTTCTCGCTCTCTACATAACAGAGTTCCATCGGCTCTGGACCTCCGTTGTCATATCGTCTCGGTTGACGATATGATGTCGAGTTGGCGCGAGCCTGTCTCAGACTGAAGTCTTCCTGTTCCGCAATGGAAATGGCTTGTTCTAGTGAATCTAATTCAAGTCGGAACAGGTGAGTCTTGACGGGACCATCCGCAAGACCCTGCATGAACACCGAAACCAACGTGTGTTCATCAACCGGATTGGAACTTATACTACTCGTGAGATGTCGTATATGTTGCGCGTAAGTGTGCACATCACGCTTACCCTGTTTGAGCTTCAAGAGTTCGGTTCGAGCCCTGAACTCAGCTCTAGGCGGTTCAAACGTTTGTCTGAGCCGCGACTTGAAGACTTCCAACGACCCAAACGCATATGGGTCGTGCAACTTGATCCCCAGTGCCCAAGTCTTGGCACGTCCTGCCAGATTTGATTAGGCAAATGCAACTTGCATATCCCCGTCGTCGATGTGACTCGCCCTTATGGCGTCGTATAACTCGACGAACCATCTCAAGAGGGAGTCCTCTTCGACTCCCCTATACTTGGAAATGTCAATCTTCAAGGTCTCGGGTCGACGCGAGTGCATCGACCCACCAGCAGCAGCCTGCTGCTGTCTCAACAGTTCAAACTGTTGAGCACCCTGTTCTCTCAACAACTCTGCTTGTTGAGAACCTTGTTGGTGAAGCAAGGCTACTTTCTCGCGTTCTGCGTCAAGTTCATTTTGAATGAACTTGGAGATAGTATCATGTTAGGCATCTCTATTGAGAGCCTCTAGCATGACGCTAACAGGATGGATGCCCATGGTTGAACCCATCCGTTCAACCGCATCCCATTCGACATCGCTCAAATGGGAGTAGCCGTCACGCGTAGCGTGAAAGCTTTGATCATCTTCATCATCCAACATATTCATGTTAGATGTGAACGTGGTCCTTGGACGGACTACGAAGTGCTACCAGGTGTAACGGGGCACTCTGAAGCTTGTACTGGTGACAGTACAAGCTGCTTATTCTGATGACAGAATAAGGCGGTGCCTCGGAACTTCACGTACACTCGTACGTGCAGAGGAAGACGGTAAGAAGAAGCGAGTACTTGGTTAAAGTAAAAGTAGAACTGTATTTATAATAGTTAATGTCTGCAATAAATCACTATTTATCTTCATCTAACTATGTCTAAATACAAATGTGTAAATCAACTATCTGCTCACCACTCATTGCGTGCGTCTGTCGTGGCGCGTCTTCGTTGGTTGATAAAATGGCCAATATCAACCAATTAGGAACTACTCGTAAGTGCTACAGAATATTTGTCCTTATGACAATATTCTGAGAATATAACTCTTATAGTTATATTCTGATAACAATTTCTTATAAATTGTTATGTAACGATTCACCCCGTTACAAGAAGGGTGCTCCGCACCTACTGATCCTGTCCGTTTTTTTACGGTCCATCCCGTTGTTGCGTCTTTGCACCAACAGCGGACCCGCATTCCTGCCCCTTTCTCATGGGTGGACGGTCGCTACGCCCAGTGTTGCGAGACACTGGACGAGGGGCACTACACTCGTAAGCGTAGTGTCCTGTCTTTTGACATCTGTTGCATTTCTGCAACTTCTTGTAGTCTGTAGAGCGAGCCTTCTCGCTCTCTACATAACAGAGTTCCATCGGCTCTGGACCTCCGTTGTCATATCGTCTCGGTTGACGATATGATGTCGAGTTGGCGCGAGCCTGTCTCAGACTGAAGTCTTCCTGTTCCGCAATGGAAATGGCTTGTTCTAGTGAATCTAGTTCAAGTCAAAACAGGTGAGTCTTGACGGGACCATCCGCAAGACCCTGCATGAACACCGAAACCAACGTGTGTTCATCAACCGGGTTGGAACTTATACAACTCGTAAGATGTCGTATATGTTGCGCGTAAGCGTGCACATCACGCTTACCTTGCTTGAGCTTCAAGAGTTCAGTTCGAGCTCTGAACTCAGCTCTAGGCGGTTCAAACGTTAGTCTGAGCCGCGACTTGAAGACTTCCAACGACCCAAACGCATATGGTTGTGCAACTTGATCCCCAAAGCCCAAGTCTTGGCACGTCCTGCCAGATTTGATTAGGCAAATGCAACTTGCATATCCCCGTCGTCGATGTGACTCGCCCTTATGGCGTCGTATAACTCGACAAACCATCTCAAGAGGGAGTCCTCTTCGACTCCCCTATACTTGGAAATGTCAATCTTCAAGGTCTCGGGTCGACGCGAGTGCATCGACCCACCAGCAGCAGCCTGCTGCTGTCTCAACAGTTCAAACTGTTGAGCACCCTGTTCTCTCAACAACTCTGCTTGTTGAGAACCTTGTTGGTGAAGCAAGGCTACTTTCTCGCGTTCTGCGTCAAGTTCATTTTGAATGAACTTGGCGATAGTAGCATGTTAGGCATCTCTATTGAGAGCCTCTAGCATGACGCTAACAGGATGGATGCCCATGGTTGAACCCATCCGTTCAACCGCATCCCATTCGACATCGCTCAAATGGGAGTAGCCGTCACGCGTAGCGTGAAAGCTTTGATCATCTTCATCATCCAACATATTCATGTTGGATGTGAACGCGGTCCTTGGACGGACTACGAAGTGCTACCAGGTGTAACGGGGCACCCTGAAGCTTGTACTGGTGACAGTACAAGCTGCTTATTCTGATGACAGAATAAGGCGGTGCCTCGGAACTTCACGTACACTCGTACGTGCAGAGGAAGACGGTAAGAAGAAGCGAGTACTTGGTTAAAGTAAAAAGTAGAACTGTATTTATAATAGTTAATGTCTGCAATAAATCACTATTTATCTTCATCTAACTATGTCTAAATACAAATGTGTAAATCAACTATCTGCTCACCACTCATTGCGTGCGTCTGTCGTGGCGCGTCTTCGTTGGTTGATATAATGGCCTATATCAACCAATTAGGAACTACTCGTAAGTGCTACAGAATATTTGTCCTTATGACAATATTCTGAGATTACAACTCTTATAGTTATATTCTGATAACAATTTCTTATAAATTGTTATGTAACGATTCACCCCGTTACAAGAAGGGTGCTCCGCACCTACTGATCCTGTCCGTTTTTTTTTACGGTCCATCCCGTTGTTGCGTCTTTGCACCAACAGCGGACCCGCATTCCTGCCCCTTTCTCATGGGTGGACGGTCACTACGCCCAGTGTTGCGAGACACTGGACGAGGGGCACTACACTCGTAAGCGTAGTGTCCTGTCTTTTGACATCTGTTGCATTTCTGCAACTTCTTGTAGTCTGTAGAGCGAGCCTTCTCGCTCTCTACATAACAGAGTTCCATCGGCTCTGGACCTCCGTTGTCATATCGTCTCGGTTGACGATATGATGTCGAGTTGGCGCGAGCCTGTCTCAGACTGAAGTCTTCCTGTTCCGCAATGGAAATGGCTTGTTCTAGTGAATCTAGTTCAAGTCAAAACAGGTGAGTCTTGACGGGACCATCCGCAAGACCCTGCATGAACACCGAAACCAACGTGTGTTCATCAACCGGGTTGGAACTTATACAACTCGTAAGATGTCGTATATGTTGCGCGTAAGCGTGCACACCACGCTTACCTTGCTTGAGCTTCAAGAGTTCAGTTCGAGCTCTGAATTCAGCTCTAGGAGGTTCAAACGTTAGTCTGAGCCGCGACTTGAAGACTTCCAACGACCCAAACGCATATGGTTGTGCAACTTGATCCCCAAAGCCCAAGTCTTGGCACGTCCTGCCAGATTTGATTAGGCAAATGCAACTTGCATATCCCCGTCGTCGATGTGACTCGCCCTTATGGCGTCGTATAACTCGACAAACCATCTCAAGAGGGAGTCCTCTTCGACTCCCCTATACTTGGAAATGTCAATCTTCAAGGTCTCGGGTCGACGCGAGTGCATCGACCCACCAGCAGCAGCCTGCTGCTGTCTCAACAGTTCAAACTGTTGAGCACCCTGTTCTCTCAACAACTCTGCTTGCTGAGAACCTTGTTGGTGAAGCAAGGCTACTTTCTCGCGTTCTGCGTCAAGTTCATTTTGAATGAACTTGGAGATAGTAGCATGTTAGGCATCTCTATTGAGAGCCTCTAGCATGACGCTAACAGGATGGATGCCCATGGTTGAACCCATCCGTTCAACCGCATCCCATTCGACATCGCTCAAATGGGAGTAGCCGTCACGCGTAGCGTGAAAGCTTTGATCATCTTCATCATCCAACATATTCATGTTGGATGTGAACGCGGTCCTTGGACGGACTACGAAGTGCTACCAGGTGTAACGGGGCACCCTGAAGCTTGTACTGGTGACAGTACAAGCTGCTTATTCTGATGACAGAATAAGGCGGTGCCTCGGAACTTCACGTACACTCGTACGTGCAGAGGAAGACGGTAAGAAGAAGCGAGTACTTGGTTAAAGTAAAAGTAGAACTGTATTTATAATAGTTAATGTCTGCAATAAATCACTATTTATCTTCATCTAACTATGTCTAAATACAAATGTGTAAATCAACTATCTGCTCACCACTCATTGCGTGCGTCTGTCGTGGCGCGTCTTCGTTGGTTGATAAAATGGCCTATATCAACCAATTAGGAACTACTCGTAAGTGCTGCAGAATATTTGTCCTTATGACAATATTCTGAGATTACAACTCTTATAGTTATATTCTGATAACAATTTCTTATAAATTGTTATGTAACGATTCACCCCGTTACAAGAAGGGTGCTCCGCACCTACTGATCCTGTCCGTTTTTTTACGGTCCATCCCGTTGTTGCGTCTTTGCACCAACAGCGGACCCGCATTCCTGCCCCTTTCTCATGGGTGGACGGTCACTACGCCCAGTGTTGCGAGACACTGGACGAGGGGCACTACACTCGTAAGCGTAGTGTCCTGTCTTTTGACATCTGTTGCATTTCTGCAACTTCTTGTAGTCTGTAGAGCGAGCCTTCTCGCTCTCTACATAACAGAGTTCCATCGGCTCTGGACCTCCGTTGTCATATCGTCTCGGTTGACGATATGATGTCGAGTTGGCGCGAGCCTGTCTCAGACTGAAGTCTTCCTGTTCCGCAATGGAAATGGCTTGTTCTAGTGAATCTAGTTCAAGTCAAAACAGGTGAGTCTTGACGGGACCATCCGCAAGACCCTGCATGAACACCGAAACCAACGTGTGTTCATCAACCGGGTTGGAGCTTATACAACTCGTAAGATGTCGTATATGTTGCGCGTAAGCGTGCACACCACGCTTACCTTGCTTGAGCTTCAAGAGTTCAGTTCGAGCTCTGAATTCAGCTCTAGGAGGTTCAAACGTTAGTCTGAGCCGCGACTTGAAGACTTCCAACGACCCAAACGCATATGGTTGTGCAACTTGATCCCCAAAGCCCAAGTCTTGGCACGTCCTGCCAGATTTGATTAGGCAAATGCAACTTGCATATCCCCGTCGTCGATGTGACTCGCCCTTATGGCGTCGTATAACTCGACAAACCATCTCAAGAGGGAGTCCTCTTCGACTCCCCTATACTTGGAAATGTCAATCTTCAAGGTCTCGGGTCGACGCGAGTGCATCGACCCACCAGCAGCAGCCTGCTGCTGTCTCAACAGTTCAAACTGTTGAGCACCCTGTTCTCTCAACAACTCTGCTTGTTGAGAACCTTGTTGGTGAAGCAAGGCTACTTTCTCGCGTTCTGCGTCAAGTTCATTTTGAATGAACTTGGAGATAGTATCATGTTAGGCATCTCTATTGAGAGCCTCTAGCATGACGCTAACAGGATGGATGCCCATGGTTGAACCCATCCGTTCAACCGCATCCCATTCGACATCGCTCAAATGGGAGTAGCCGTCACGCGTAGCGTGAAAGCTTTGATCATCTTCATCATCCAACATATTCATGTTAGATGTGAACGTGGTCCTTGGACGGACTACGAAGTGCTACCAGGTGTAACGGGGCACTCTGAAGCTTGTACTGGTGACAGTACAAGCTGCTTATTCTGATGACAGAATAAGGCGGTGCCTCGGAACTTCACGTACACTCGTACGTGCAGAGGAAGACGGTAAGAAGAAGCGAGTACTTGGTTAAAGTAAAAAGTAGAACTGTATTTATAATAGTTAATGTCTGCAATAAATCACTATTTATCTTCATCTAACTATGTCTAAATACAAATGTGTAAATCAACTATCTGCTCACCACTCATTGCGTGCGTCTGTCGTGGCGCGTCTTCGTTGGTTGATAAAATGGCCTATATCAACCAATTAGGAACTACTCGTAAGTGCTGCAGAATATTTGTCCTTATGACAATATTCTGAGATTACAACTCTTATAGTTATATTCTGATAACAATTTCTTATAAATTGTTATGTAACGATTCACCCCGTTACGGACCGTCAATAAAACGACCGAAGGCTCAGCATCGTGAGTTACAACACCAGAGGAGAAGAGTAGAAGTCGCATCATGACAAAGATACTGCAGCAAAAAGAGACGAAAAGAGCAAATCAAAGACTGCCCGAGTAACACATGTTTGCATGGAGAATAAAAGACAAATGGAAGCCTAACTCGAACCTCGGTGGGTTGAACACTGCGCCTCGGTGCATTTACAGCTTTTCCCGATTCGTCGCTCAACGTCGTGCTCCTTCGGTAGCTTTTCGAATCGCTCTGTTGACTGGTGAGGTCATCGATTCACTTACAAAAGCATCTCCGCATGTTGTGTTGCAAGTACATTCCTCTTCAGTAATGCACATATTTTCATGAACATCAAGTTCGACTCGCCAGCACGAGTTTTGGGCGCAGAGCTGTGATGCGTCAGCTCTTCCATCGACGTAAGACCAATCGATCAGTTCTCTACTGGAGTATCGCTGAGTCCAATCGGCTCGAAGCTAGCCAAAAGTAATCTGCAGTGAACTTGCCTTCCAGAACAATCCCGACAGCTCAGATCGTGACGCTAGTCTCGAGGGATATCGTAGATCGGACAGTTCGAGGAGTATTGCACTGCGTATTGTACCTCCTAAACAGATCAGCTCACGTATCAAGCACTTTGCTCGAAGAATAAGTGGCAGGCATCAGGAGCAGGGAAGGCTTTTGAAAATGCACATTTGCAGCATTTACACACATTTGCAGGTATTGAAAGTGTATTTTTGAGAAAGAGAGGAATACGGTGGACGCTCGTCCTAATGTCTACATGTTTTGATCATCATTAGGTCATGGTAGATGTGCCAAGTCTGTACAGAACGTTGGTCTGCCGGTGTTGGTGCTGAGAGGTGCTGGATATACGATCCGCAATGTTGCGTGGACGTGTGCCCATAGACATCGATCCTGCTGGACGAAGACGTGTCGAACAACATTTTGTGCGAGGCATCGAACGGTTTTGCATCGAAAAGACGTCGCGTGTTTCGTGTCGAGGGACACAGAGTGCCTTTGTTGCACCCAAAGGAGAGTCGCAGCTCGGACGCGCGGACGGAGGACGCAATCCCGTGCTAGATGTGCACGATGGAACAAGATAATACACGGCTACAGGATGTAGTTGCTGCATCCAATCGCGTTTCCAGTGTCGGTCCCGATGGCGTTACAGACCACAATCCGTTTACTGCTATCGCTGGACCCTACGAAACGTCCGATAGCTCGTGCAATTCTAGCATCGCCGTTCATCGAATCGGGTCCGATCAAGACGCTTCGGATGTTGCAGAGTTTGGTCGGGTTTGAGCCGGTGGTTCAAGCAAAATTTCTGACAACGCTACCTAAAGCGATCGATGGCTTCTCGCCGCGTGTGCTCCGTGACATGGTGATCCCAGGCCTTCACTTAGTGGTGACCAACAAGGCTATGTCTCCATTTGTCATCACGCTGCTACTCAAGATCGTGTTCAAGGTCGACAAGCAAATGTTCTCGCACTCGGTTGCATCAATCGTGATCCTGCTGCTGGCGATCACGGAGCCTGTCCAGTGCATGCTGGTGATCCGTGTTAGAACTAGAGACGCTCATCCCAAAGACAGAGGACGGCTACATTCGTGGCCACATTGTTCCCATGCTGTGCCGGGCACTCGATAGCACAGTGCCCAAAATTTTTAACACGATGCTCGACAAGATTGAGTGAACAATGTCAACTTCTCTCCACCGTAGCCGTCTGTGCGGATCAGTGCATTGCTCTGGCTGGCAAAGTCGTTCAACGTGTTTGACCTGGATCTGCTCATTGAAAGCGTCTTGCCTATTTATCACCTGAGTCCTCCAGCCAATAAGGCACCCGCTGCATCGTGTGCATTCTCAAGTACTTCGACAAGATCGACGTGGTGCGCAAGATGATCCAAAACATGCTCAAGGCCGTGATCAGCGGACGTGACAAGTCGTTCACATCTCAAAGCTCGGCCCACAGCGTAGCAACAGGTATCACTACAGCTTCGGGTATGTCAAGTGCTTTTCGTGCTGTAGAGGCGTCGAAGGAGCGCGAGTCAGGTTTTGCAGCAGCTGACAAGTTGGTATCCGAAGAATGTGTAGCGGAGAAGGCGCAGCCAGAGCTAACTAATGAGAAGCCCGAGCGATACTCAAACGATCCGTTTTATCTGGGCATGTCGAGCCCATCATCTAGCAGCAGTAGGACTATAAGTACTGGAGTAGAGTGGTGTGGCTCAAGTAGCCGCCGTGGACTTATGAGCCCCTTGCAAACACAACGAACGACGGCATCGATACGTTCCTTCGTCACTTGTAGGATATCCTCAAACATGTCCATTGTCATTAGAAAGCAAGCGATGCAGTAGCTACTGGTAGCACGCTTGAAAGCGTCACCCTACTCCATCTCAAAGAGCATGTCCGTACTTGGCAAGCGTCGGCTTCAACTCCGCGTTCTCAGTAAGGACCTTCGCCTCGGCTTCAGCCAGACGTTTCTGCTGAGCGACCTTCTTCTTGTAAAAGGCGTCCGACTTGACAATGCGCTTGGCTTCGAGACGCTTGACCAGCTCAGCGTGACGCCAGCCAACTTCCGAGGCGAGATTGCCCAAGACCGTGTAGCGGCGGTTCGCCTTCAGACGTAGCACACGCAGAGCAGCTGGGATGACCATACGCTTCTGCTTGTCGTACGGAGACGGGATACCGTCAAACACCTACAGCCCGATCCATCCATCAACTTCAACATCAGTACACCACAGCCAGTCAATCAGGTAGCCACGTTCAAGAGTCTCCTTACCTTCAAGCGTTGCAGAGCAGCAGCACCACGGGCCGTCTTGTGAGGCAGCATACCACGGATCGTACGCCAAAGCATACGAGACGGTGCCCGGTAGTGGACCGGACCCTTCTTCGGGTTCGTGGCCGTTCGCTTGTTCAAGAACTGCAAGAACTTGACTTTGTTGCGCACGTCTGTTGTATACGCAGAAGCAAGAGCAGATCACATGAGGAATCCGTTCTTGACTCCACCCACACTCACAAACAGACGGCATGACCACCACTGCATCTCTACACGAGCGTCCGAAGACGTCGTGTAGCTCAACAGGGAGTCTGCACGCAGCGACTTTTGCATGTTTAAGGAGGTTGCACCAACGGCATTTCGTCTATGTGACTCTCCCTCGCACTTCTTCAGCTTTCACCTTCGCATTCACTTGCTGAACAAGGTACTCAACTCAATGCTGAGGTCATTTTCTCCCTCATCCCACAGCGTTACAGCAGTAACACAAGTGAACGTCCTGACGTGGAAGTCAATGAGAAAGCAAAGCTGATCGAGTGGCGAGCTCATGGAGTCCACATCGATGGTTGACCAGTACTGAGAAGGTAAGCAACTAAACTCAATTGACAGCACTCCTTGTCACACCCAAATCGTCTCTACGGAAGCGACAGACGATGCTTCCAGCGGCACGCAGTGATGATGCCATGCGTCGATGCAGTGAATACAGTCCTAGTACTACTGAGGAAGTGCCGTGTGGACCAATACAGGAGATCGATCGATCGATCGATCAACATTCACAAAGACGTACGCGAGCCGGAGATCTCGAGCTGCTCGCAGCGCACAGCCACGACGTGCTGGCCCTGCAGAAGTTCCTTGGCGATCAGTGAGGCGAGACGGCCGACCAAGTGGCCTCGGCAGTCGACGACGATCGGTTTCTCGAACACCATATTGACTACAAGTGAGAGAGAGAGAGAGGGGCGAGTGGGAAACGAAAGAGGAAGTGCGATGGCGGTCCATCACTACTGAAGAGCTCCGGTCGCGAAGAGCTCCGCACCACCCGCTCATTCTGACCAATCGCGGACGCGAAGCGAGTTACAACAAATCAGAACGGACCAAAAGGGTGGGTTTGCGACGATGGACGCGTTGGGGAGTATACACCGTTCGGTATACACATCGATGAATTCTCTTGTCATATGTATTCCGAGAACGTTCTGAACACGGAGTTATGATTGATGACGAAGAGCTCCCGCGCCACCCGCTACGGCTCGTCCCCGTACGTATCCCATAGCGTGGCTTCTTACTACCGATTCTACTTCTGACTCCATGATTGGACTGTCATATGGGGGATCGTCTTGTATGCTTTCGCGGTAGTGGAACAGCAGTTCGATGGACGATGGTAAAGTCTTGACTGATCCCGAAGGCGTGGCGATGGCAACAGCGTTTATGAAAAAGTCACGTGAAAAGTGGGAGGCGGGGAAATCGCTTCGGTCTGCGCCAGTACTGGACGATCTCGAGCGAGTGGCACGGGAGATCAAGGAGAAGGCCAGCTTGTTAGGTGGCTCGGACAGCTTCAGCAGTTTTATTGGCTGTGACTCAGAGTCGCAGACGGCATTTCGAATACGTTCCCAGCAGTCGTGGCGCAAACAGCGCCAGTCGTTGATGGAGGAAGCTGCGAAAATAGGCGGAGCAGAAGGGTTTATGCAAGCAGAGACAGACAGCGTGGAATCGAGTCTGGCAGAAAAGTTGCTGCAGAGAGGCTACGGATTGGACTCTAGTCCGACTAAAGAGAGCGTAGGGAACTGGAGTGTACCTGGTAGCAGCTCGAATGACGATAAAAGCGACGGAATTGTGCTGCCTCAAGCGTCTCATGATGCGCTCAGGAATCGGTTGGTGGAGTTTTACACCAAGTACAATCCCGACAAGTTAACTAGTATCGATCGGACGCTCGAAACGTATCGTGGTCGTGAAGACGAGCTGTTTCGGAAACTAGCAAGTCGATATGTGGATGGCGCTAGCTTGAGTCTGCAAGAACGCAAGAAGGGCTGCATCACGAAGGACAGCGATCCCAGTGTTTACATGGACATCTCGATAGCTGGAGTTCGCGCCGGCAGAATCGTCATGCGTCTACTAAAGGACGAAACTCCGCTTGCTTCGGAGAACTTTCGCTGCTTGTGCACAGGCGAAAAGGTACGAGACGAGCATGTTGCGGTCCTTGACAGAGATTTGATGTGTATCGATGGTATAATGTAGGGTGGAATGCTTAGTTTTAAAGGCTGCAAGTTTCACCGCATCATCAAGAACTTTGTGGTCCAGGGTGGAGGTATGTGCTGCTGTCACGTGCAGAGTAATCATGTGGGGTGTGGTACTGCGTTCATAGCTCTGGTGATTGCACACAGACTTCACAACAGGTGACGGTACTGGCGGCCAAAGTATCTACCGCGGTACTTCGCACGGGGATCTTTGGGGAAACTTTAAGGATGAACGGTTCCTACCTCACGACGACGTCGGGCTGCTGTCAATGGCCAATGCAGGCAAGAACACAAACGGCTCGCAGGTACGCATTCGGCTTGCAACAGTATTTACTGGCTACTAAGCTGATCATCATCAGATGCGGTTCTTCTGACTTTGCTCTCACTCTTTCCGTTCTCTTCTTTCTGGATCCTGTCTAGTTCTTCATTACCACGAGAGCAGGTCTGAAGAATCTGGATGGCAAGCATGTGGTCTTTGGCGAGGTCATTCATGGGCTAGATGTCGTAGACGCGATGCAGAACGTGAAGGTGAGCCCGAGCAACAGCTGCCCTCTCTCCGAAAACGAAGTTGCAGTGATCGATTGCGGAGAACTCTAGTCCAGCGTCATGCACCGAACTCGTGTCGTGCGTAGTGGTACACATCCAGCAAACGAATGGACCAGCAGCTCGCTTGCGCCACACGAGATTGTGTGCTGTATCATACTATGAACCGAATGCGGCTGACGACGTTGCTACGTGCAAATAAATGCCACAAGTTCCATCATTCGAGACTCGTGGACACCCACCCCTCCAGCTCTTCGAAACCAGACGCAGTGACACAGTATTGTCCAGTCGAGTTTGCGCATTCCAGGAGTCGACTGCACTTACCGCAGCATGTCGCGTAAAAAAAGGCCATTCTCCGAGCTCAGTGTCGATGGATCGTGACACGCACTCGTCAGAAACGCGGTTTTGTCTTTTCCTCCAATCACCGCGTGGATCGCCACAAGAACCGACCGACCTATCGACCGACCGACTTACCACCTCTCGACCTCTGGTCCAGTCACTTGCAAACGCGCCCCATGCTCCGCCTCGCGACCTCCTCGAGGCCCTTGTCGCCATCAGTGCCGTCCCCGCTGCGCCCGACTCTTCTGCAATGCCGCGCACTCCTCTCCACTAGCTCCAGTGACGATACCGCTGTCTTCAAGGCCGCCAACGGGCAGCGCTTGAATCGCTACAGTGCAGTGATTACGCAATCGAAAGCACGAGGCGCGTCCCAGGCCATGCTCTATGCCACGGGCTTGACTGAAGCGGACATGGACAGGCCCCAAGTCGGTATTGCGTCCATGTGGTGGGAGGGGAATCCGTGTAATATGCACCTATTGGACCTCGCCCGTGACGTCAAGAAGGGCGTGACCGCTGCTGACCTCGTCGGTCTGTGCTTCAATACAATCGGGGTTAGTGACGGGATCAGCATGGGCACAGACGGGATGAGCTACAGTCTCCAGTCGCGGGAGCTAATTGCTGACTCAATTGAAACCGTCATGGGCGGACAGTGGTACGATGGGAACATCTGTATTCCAGGATGTGACAAAAACATGCCCGGCTGTGTCATTGCTATGGCTCGCGTGAACCGCCCGTCGCTCATGGTTTACGGGGGCACGATCCGTGCTGGCTGTAGCTCGAAAGGCGAGCCTCTTGATGTGGTCTCGGCCTTTCAAGCGTACGGAGAGTACCTGGCGGGACGAATCACGGAAGATGAACGTCATGATATTATTCGTCATGCTTGTCCGGGTGCAGGGGCCTGTGGCGGCATGTACACGGCCAATACGATGGCTACAGCAATTGAGACCTTGGGTCTGAGTCTACCGTTCTCATCGAGCTTCCCAGCTGATTCGATGGAAAAGAAACACGAGTGTCTGAGTGCTGGTCAAGCCATGAAAGTGCTGTTGGAAAAAGATATCAAACCGCTGGATATTTTGAGCCGCAGGGCCTTTGAAAATGCGATTACAGTGACCATGGCCTTAGGTGGTTCGACAAACGCGGTGCTGCACTTGATTGCAATTGCTCGGGCGGCCAAGATTCCGCTGACGATTGACGATTTTGAAGACATTAGTGAACGCGTGCCGTTTTTGGCTGATTTGAAACCTAGCGGCAAGTATGTCATGGAGGACATTCATCGTGTTGGCGGTACGCCTGCTGTACTAAAGTACCTGATGAAGCAGGGGTTGATCGATGGTGATTGTTTGACTGTGACGGGCAAAACGTTGGGCGAAAATCTCGCCGAAGTGGCGGATCTTTCAGATAACCACAAGATTATTCACCCTGTCGATCGTCCGCTTAAGTCTAGCGGCCACTTGCGGATTCTGCGCGGTGACCTGGCTCCAGAGGGCTCGGTGGCGAAGATTACTGGCAAAGAAGGCCTTGTGTTTACAGGCACGGCAAAGGTGTACGATTGTGAAGAGGACATGATGACAGGTCTGGAAAACAATGAGGTCACGAAAGGCAGCGTCGTGATCATTCGCTACGAAGGCCCGAAGGGCGGTCCTGGCATGCCTGAGATGCGTACGTTTATTTCATTCGGTGTCAATGCTGAAGTCGAATTGCTCTGACATGGTGTGCTTTGTTTTGTACGTCTAGTTGCGCCTACCTCGGCAATCATGGGAGCTGGTTTGGGTAAGGATGTTGCCATGCTCACTGACGGGCGCTTCTCGGGGGGCTCGCACGGATTTATCATTGGTCACATCACACCCGAGGCTCAGGTGGGTGGTCCAATCGCGCTCGTCAAGGACGGCGACAAGATCACGGTCGATGCCGAGACAAACCGCATTGACTTCATTGACGTGTCCGCTGAAGTGCTAGCACAGCGCAAGAAGGAATGGGTAGCTCCTCCGCTTAAAGCCACCCGTGGTACGCTGTACAAGTTTATCAAGAACGTAAAGTCTGCTTCGGAAGGCTGTGTTACGGATGAATAAAGGACCTGTTGTACCCGAAGTATTGTGGAGAGTGGAAGACACTTGCTTGAAGTTGTTTGGTCCGTGAAGCTAGCACCACAGTTTATGCAAAACGCTCGTCCGGCTTGCTCGTGTGGCATTGGAAGCTTTATCATCATCGTACTTGCATTGGGTACTGAACGTCTCCGATTCAGCAGTTGATCCGATGTCGTGAGCGTGGTGGCTTCTGTCACTGATGTTTAGTTGTTCTGGCGAGGTGAGCAATCATAATCAGTTTACTGCATGTACTGTACTCAGATGAGCAGAACAGCGGATATCGTGGACTGTCGAGAAAGGAGCTGACGGCTGGTTGGGTGCTGGATGTGGTGGCAACCTCAAGCGCAGGGCAAGTCCTGAAATCTTGGCTACTTATGGTCACATTTGGTTCAGATCAATGGTGTCTCTGAGTGAGATCGCTCTGAATATTCATGGGGGCATAACAAGACATGCGGCGAGTTTCCAGCAACGTGGCCATGTTCATTTCGCACGTTTAGAAGAAAGAACTTGGTCGACTTTGGCATGGTGAGGAAAGGCTGTCCGCCTCGAAAGCCTGGAGATTTACTCATTGGCGCTTTGCAAACAATCATCAATTCGGTTTCGTGTTGACCCGGAGAACTAGCGAACTGTCACAGATAGTGAAGTCGATCAAAGTATAGATGACGTGTGTTGCCACGAAGAAGCCCTTGCTGAGCTCAATAAACTGACATCAAGCAGCCATAACTACCGAATCACAAAGTTGATCTGATCGTTCGATGCGTAGCCAAGATGTGACCGTAATTTTAGAGAATCGCTAAATTCACCACACGTGTTTGCTGATTTCACCACAGACTCGTAATTACATGCCTAGCAATAGCGGTACACCATGCTCTCGATCTTTTTTACCAATGCGCACATACATCAGCAACGGGAATATGCACCTATCTTTGGAAAATTGAGCATGAAATCTGCCCGGGAAACACCTAGCCATCACGACAAAGCCAGGCACGTACCGGCCCTCTAGCAGTACCATATACTAAAATGTTTCGTAAATCTGTTGAATCCTGCTCCACTACAGGTGCGCATTACCTAGCCTGCGCCAATCGCTCTGTATTCAGCAACCTGGCGTCGTACAAGTAGGGATGCACATTTGAGCTCCGTACAGATATCCGGGTTTAATCTGAAGGTACCGCTTGAGTGATGCACGTGCACCTTTTCTCGAAGAAATCTACCTTAATAAGGATATAAGCAGCTAATTGTCCAAGCAGCAATATATATTTAGCCCTGTGGAGAAGCCACGTCTGGTCACAAACCAGAGCAGGAACATCAGAAAAATTGAAGAAAGAGTTCATCCTTAAGCAGGATATGTTCTGACGTCTTTCGAAATGCCGAAACGCACTTCGTAATTTTTATTCGCCTTACTCCATCTGTCTTCGTTAAGGTGTTGTAGCATTCGTCAGAGCATTCATTCTGGATATGCCAGAGACATAACAAATGTCGTGCTGCTACGAAATCTGCGCAATTACAGTGAGAGATGCATCTGCGTCAGTGATAACAGGTTTGGGCAGTTAGTGGTCCGAAACTTACCACCCAACTTCACTCGATACCAAGAGGTACTCCAAAATTAATGGGTTCCGTCCCGCGCGGGACGGGATATCATGCGGGACGCTGCTGGACAAGATCATGGGGAACGTTTACCATACAAACTTTTTGAAACGACCAGATCTACATACACACGAGCACCTCTATATGTGCCGAGACAGTACTAAGAATGAAAACAATAGTGGAACGATAAAATCAGTATCAATGTGATCAACGCTTACCTGCCACGACGAGTGTATAATCTGAATGCTATTTTACTAGATCGTAATCGGTGCCGCTGATGGCATACTTATGCAAACAGGGCTCTCCTTAAACGTGGTAGCAACGGAATTGCAACGATTGTCACATGCATCAACATCGATGCAGTTGATCTCCATTGAGAATCGACGTCTTGTAGCAAGGTCTTGGCGAACTATGAGTGATCCAAGTAATCGAAAGCGATCCAGACGTTTGGTGAAGTGTAAGTCTCTTGACAAGGCTTTAAGCAATCGAACACCTACCAAGATAAACCCACGTCACCAAATATAAGGTCTAAAGCCTTCAATAGTCTAAACGTATTCATCGATCGTCGATTGGGCAACCAAATCATCTTTACAGGCATCCCCAAGTGCACTGAAGCATGCCTTGGCAGAAAGATCGACTATCGTCAATAAGTAATGAACATGACAATGTATATATTTGTACCTGGCTAATTTGATCCCTGATAGAAATGATATCCTTTCATATGTGATTTGTTGATCCACCGACTCCCTTTTCCAGACGAACGTATGGAGCAAACATATTGAACGATAAAGTATTACTGACTAACAGTGTTCCAAAAAACCAGGTAATATTTCAGGATCGAAATCTGGCTCTGTCTCAAGGAGATGTGGCGGACTAAGTTGCTCAGCCTATCAGTAGCTTGAGGAGAAGTGTCAGATCTTAGTGAAAGGCGCCTTAAGTAGTGGTGCGTCGACTACTGCTGGCTTATGTGCGCCTGGATAGCCAAGCGATTGTGCACATGGTGGATGCTGGCATCGTGACATTATGCCGCCTGCGTGGGTTTATTACAGAAACCGACGTAGCATTGCGATGATTTTCCACGAGACTCTTGTCTGTGGGAATACAGTGAAGCCGTAGATACTGCTTCAAGCCTCAATGACTTCGATGCTGAAGAACGCGAGCATGTAGTAACTGATTTGATCCAGCCGTCGTTCTCAATTTCAATCTATGATGAAGGTAATCTGGTAACCTTTGTTGAAGACAGGAAAGTAGCCTGTCAAATCTCAGCCACAGTGAAGAAGACTTGGCTTAATAACACTAAATTTGTTGTGTGCCTTGGGCTCTTGCAGTTAATTAAAATATACTTGGAAATGTCAGCACCAGCGCGGAAAGAGAACACTGTCGAAAGAATTGCCACATTTCTGAACCGCAAAAACTTTGCCTTATGTACTCGCACGATGGCACCGACGGCTCACTATTCTTACGAAACAGGTTCCTTCTCTTCCTTCGCTTGAAACTGGTGTAGTAGGTCTATTTTGTTTTGGTTTAAAATGCAGTATGCAGATGTTCAGACGAATTGATTGGACTGCAGTGTGTCTGTATGTGACATAATTCAATGGTAGAGATCCAAAAGATCGCCATCTTCTATTAAAACAGCGAGGCTTCTTTGTATATTAAATGATAAACAGTCGAGTTTGTCGGAGCCGTCAGCGTTGCATATTAGCTCGACGCGAGTCTTGCTATGTTGCGTTCATTCCACGTGACGACGAGCGATGGTATTGTCGGGATTTTGGTATTGTAGGGATTCTTCGATTATTCCATGTGACGCCGAGCGATGTTATTGTAGGGATCGAAGAAGTGTAAGAGTAACATTTCATACATGTCGTAGCTAGACTAGCAATACCACTTTCAATCGTTCTAGAATATCTTCAGTATGTGCAAGTTTAACACAGCGCTCCGCAGAGCCGCCTCACCGTGGGCGTTGATATGTTAGAAGCCATGATGCTTCTGAAACACCCAAATCCATCCTTTGATACGAAATAAGCTGGTCTTCCTGGTCACTTCCTAGCGCTAAAACGCTTGCTTTCGATTTAAATAAATCTCCTTTCAGCAAGTGTAAGTTTAATTGACACTGCAGCACCCAGTTGTCAAGTTCTCCATCGCCAGGCGGAAAGAGGATCGTCCGCTTTCACTTGCACTGTAGGTAGGCTACTTTCACTAGAAGTTAATTGCTAATATCGCGCAAGATTTCAGATATTGTTCCACAAACAGGTGCCTTGATGAGGTTGAAATCACGCATTAGACTTGCCACAAGATTAATCTGCGAGAGAGCGACAATGCCTTCATTCCACAGGAAGATCTTCTTCTTCTGCTCGAATGTCACATTGCTCATTTTCTTTGGTCTTGACGGGGTAGCGCTTTACAAAATGTACTTGTCAGATCTCTTGTGTCTGTGAGCTGGCTGGGATGGACTGCCGCCCACGAATTATCGTTTGATTTGGAGTGCAAAGATCTAGATATGACTAAATCGAATCGACACATTCCAATTGTGATATCCTTTTATGCTTGATGCGCATTTGGCCCACGAGTCACACAACATTTGAGATGTTCATCGGTACATTTATAAGTAGATGATGCCATCGTTTTGGGTTTTCTTAATTCCCAAAGAATTACACACTGGACTGAACAGACAGACACATCTTACATGACAATTTGATAAAGCGTGTGCCTTTAGGTAGGATAAAAATTGTATGGAAATCAGTTAAAGTGCAATCTAAAAGGCACGACCGTCTTCCACACTTCTCCCCATCTTGTTACACATCACATTCTTTGTATCAAAGTATTCGTGATATTGTACCAGTTCGGCATATTATTCTTTCTGATCTCTTTTATTCACTAAAATTATAGACACATATGACTGAAAGTGAGTGGCCGATAGAATTCGTATGTTAAAGCAGAAGGTGGCTGGTGATGGAGCACTTGTATGACCGACGGATTAATGTTTTGTGCGGGGGAGTCTTATCAAGATTAAAAACTTAATTAATCTGGTTTTGTAAGTTTTGACCCACCTTACTATAATTTCCGGATACATACTGCGCATATGCTTGAGTTACCGCCCTCATGCGCGGTATACGAGTAAGTGGAGGCTGCGGATATGTCAATAAATGCTCAAGGTCTTGTTTAGGATAAACAACACAGCTCAAGGGGTCAAAAATATAAAGGGCATTGGAGAAACGGTGCAAAAGTTCGGCTTGCATGTGCTTATGGACGCAAGTATGAATTTATTTGAGAAATTTTGACTGATGCAACCAGAGAGCGCAGATTTTCTACACGCAGAAACCAATACCCTTTTTCTGTCACGATCCAACGCAAACTGCTTCGTAGTATCCTATAAATTTCTGCTTGTAGCATCTCATTAATTCACAGGGACACAATCATAGAGCCTCTAATGATGGCACAGTGTTTGCTACCTTTCAGGAGATTGAAGCCGATCATAAAATGTCCATTTCGAGTATGTCAGGAGCTAAATGTGCACTGAAATCGATTTTACATACCTTACGGTAAAAGTACGCAGACTTTACGTTGATATTGATGGACACTTATAATAATACACTGCTGCGATATCTCGACTTGGATGAAGCACTCTCATTGTGTTTCTTCTCGATAACATCCATGCAAGCAATGGTATTCATGCGTACTAGTGCAATACAGAAGGCAAAAATCTTACAATGTAGGTGTATGTGATTGAAGAAATTCCAGCCATTGTTCGGATCGACTTCGGATGTAATGGGGCACCCTTTGCATAAGGTGCCATTAAACTTCACGTACACTAGAACGTGCAGAGGAAGCTAACTTACTCAACGACTTTGTTGAGTAAAGGGTAAAAAGAAACGGTATTTAATAAAGTGAAGCTATCAATGTAACTTTAATCATTATCCAACTATATAAAACTACGTCGTCGTGTGACGACAACCTGCTCACCACTCATTGCGCGCTCCAGCAGCGATTGGTGGCATTTTATGGTTGATATGTCTTGTATCAACCAATCTTGGAGCAGCGCATGAATACTATATTACAAGCGGATAAATTCCTTCAATATTATCTGTCTTGGACAATATGGGTAGAATACTGTCATGCTAGACAATATCCCTATTGACACCGTTTGGTGTCAATTTCATGTAACGGGCTACCTCGTTACAAAACACGTGTGGTGAATTTAGCGATTCTCTAAAATTACGGTCACATCTTGGCTACGCATCGAACGATCAGATCAACTTTGTGATTCGGTAGTTATGGCTGTTCGATGTTAGTTTATTGAGCTCAGCAAGGGCTTCTTCGTGGCAACACACGTCATCTATACTTTGATCGACTTCACTATCTGTGACAGTTCGCTAGTTCTCCGGGTCAACACGAAACCGAATTGATGATTGTTTGCAAAGCGCCAATGAGTAAATCTCCAGGCTTTCGAGGCGGACAGCCTTTCCTCACCATGCCAAAGTCGACCAAGTTCTTTCTTCTAAACGTGCGAAATGAACATGGCCACGTTGCTGGAAACTCGCCGCATGTCTTGTTATGCCCTCATGAATATTCAGAGCGATCTCACTCAGAGACACCATTGATCTGAACCAAATGTGACCATAAGTAGCCAAGATTTCAGGACTTGCCCTGCGCTTGAGGTTGCCATCACATCCAGCACCCAACCAGCCGTCAGCTCCTTTCTCGACAGTCCACGATATCCGCTGTTCTGCTCATCTGAGTACAGTACATGCAGTAAACTGATTATGATTGCTCACCTCGCCAGAACAACTAAACATCAGTGACAGAAGCCACCACGCTCACGACATCGGATCAACTGCTGAATCGGAGACGTTCAGTACCCAATGCAAGTACGATGATGATAAAGCTTCCAATGCCACACGAGCAAGCCGGACGAGCGTTTTGCATAAACTGTGGTGTCAGCTTCACGGACCAAACAACTTCAAGCAAGTGTCTTCCACTCTCCACAATACTTCGGGTACAACAGGTCCTTTATTCATCCGTAACACAGCCTTCCGAAGCAGACTTTACGTTCTTGATAAACTTGTACAGCGTACCACGGGTGGCTTTAAGCGGAGGAGCTACCCATTCCTTCTTGCGCTGTGCTAGCACTTCAGCGGACACGTCAATGAAGTCAATGCGGTTTGTCTCGGCATCGACCGTGATCTTGTCGCCGTCCTTGACGAGCGCGATTGGACCACCCACCTGAGCCTCGGGTGTGATGTGACCAATGATAAATCCGTGCGAGCCCCCGAGAAGCGCCCGTCAGTGAGCATGGCAACATCCTTACCCAAACCAGCTCCCATGATTGCCGAGGTAGGCGCAACTAGACGTACAAAACAAAGCACACCATGTCAGAGCAATTCGACTTCAGCATTGACACCGAATGAAATAAACGTACGCATCTCAGGCATGCCAGGACCGCCCTTCGGGCCTTCGTAGCGAATGATCACGACGCTGCCTTTCGTGACCTCATTGTTTTCCAGACCTGTCATCATGTCCTCTTCACAATCGTACACCTTTGCCGTGCCTGTAAACACAAGGCCTTCTTTGCCAGTAATCTTCGCCACCGAGCCCTCTGGAGCCAGGTCACCGCGCAGAATCCGCAAGTGGCCGCTAGACTTAAGCGGACGATCGACAGGGTGAATAATCTTGTGGTTATCTGAAAGATCCGCCACTTCGGCGAGATTTTCGCCCAACGTTTTGCCCGTCACAGTCAAACAATCACCATCGATCAACCCCTGCTTCATCAGGTACTTTAGTACAGCAGGCGTACCGCCAACACGATGAATGTCCTCCATGACATACTTGCCGCTAGGTTTCAAATCAGCCAAAAACGGCACGCGTTCACTAATGTCTTCAAAATCGTCAATCGTCAGCGGAATCTTGGCCGCCCGAGCAATTGCAATCAAGTGCAGCACCGCGTTTGTCGAACCACCTAAGGCCATGGTCACTGTAATCGCATTTTCAAAGGCCCTGCGGCTCAAAATATCCAGCGGTTTGATATCTTTTTCCAACAGCACTTTCATGGCTTGACCAGCACTCAGACACTCGTGTTTCTTTTCCATCGAATCAGCTGGGAAGCTCGATGAGAACGGTAGACTCAGACCCAAGGTCTCAATTGCTGTAGCCATCGTATTGGCCGTGTACATGCCGCCACAGGCCCCTGCACCCGGACAAGCATGACGAATAATATCATGACGTTCATCTTCCGTGATTCGTCCCGCCAGGTACTCTCCGTACGCTTGAAAGGCCGAGACCACATCAAGAGGCTCGCCTTTCGAGCTACAGCCAGCACGGATCGTGCCCCCGTAAACCATGAGCGACGGGCGGTTCACGCGAGCCATAGCAATGACACAGCCGGGCATGTTTTTGTCACATCCTGGAATACAGATGTTCCCATCGTACCACTGTCCGCCCATGACGGTTTCAATTGAGTCAGCAATTAGCTCCCGCGACTGGAGACTGTAGCTCATCCCGTCTGTGCCCATGCTGATCCCGTCACTAACCCCGATTGTATTGAAGCACAGACCGACGAGGTCAGCAGCGGTCACGCCCTTCTTGACGTCACGGGCGAGGTCCAATAGGTGCATATTACACGGATTCCCCTCCCACCACATGGACGCAATACCGACTTGGGGCCTGTCCATGTCCGCTTCAGTCAAGCCCGTGGCATAGAGCATGGCCTGGGACGCGCCTCGTGCTTTCGATTGCGTAATCACTGCACTGTAGCGATTCAAGCGCTGCCCGTTGGCGGCCTTGAAGACAGCGGTATCGTCACTGGAGCTAGTGGAGAGGAGTGCGCGGCATTGCAGAAGAGTCGGGCGCAGCGGAGACGGTGCTGATGGCGACAAGGGCCTCGAGGAGGTCGCGAGGCGGAGCATGGGGCGCGTTTGCGAGTGACTGGACCAGAGGTCGAGAGGTGGTAAGTCGGTCGGTCGATAGGTCGGTCGGTCGGTCGGTTCTTGTGGCGATCCACGCGGTGATTGGAGGAAAAGACGAAACCGCGTTTCTGACGAGTGCGTGTGACGACGATCCATCGACACTGAGCTCGGTGAATGGCCTTTTTTTACGCGACATGCTGCGGTAAGTGCAGTCGACTCCTGGAATGCGCAAACTCGACTGGACAATACTGTGTCACTGCGTCTGGTTTCGAAGAGCTGGAGGGGTGGGTGTCCACGAGTCTCGAATGATGGAACTTGTGGCATTTATTTGCACGTAGCAACGTCGTCAGCCGCATTCGGTTCATAGTATGATACAGCACACAATCTCGTGTGGCGCAAGCGAGCTGCTGGTCCATTCGTTTGCTGGATGTGTACCACTACGCACGACACGAGTTCGGTGCATGACGCTGGACTAGAGTTCTCCGCAATCGATCACTGCAACTTCGTTTTCGGAGAGAGGGCAGCTGTTGCTCGGGCTCACCTTCACGTTCTGCATCGCGTCTACGACATCTAGCCCATGAATGACCTCGCCAAAGACCACATGCTTGCCATCCAGATTCTTCAGACCTGCTCTCGTGGTAATGAAGAACTAGACAGGATCCAGAAAGAAGAGAACGAAAAAAGTGAGAGCAGAGTGAGAAGAACCGCATCTGATGATGATCAGCTTAGTAGCCAGTAAATACTGTTGCAAGCCGAATGCGTACCTGCGAGCCGTTTGTGTCCTTGCCTGCATTGGCCATTGACAGCAGCCCGACGTCGTCGTGAGGTAGGAACCGTTCATCCTTAAAGTTTCCCCAAAGATCCCCGTGCGAAGTACCGCGGTAGATACTTTGGCCGCCAGTACCGTCACCTGTTGTGAAGTCTGTGTGCAATCACCAGAGCTATGAACGCAGTACCACACCCCACATGATTACTCTGCACGTGACAGCAGCACATACCTCCACCCTGGACCACAAAGTTCTTGATGATGCGGTGAAACTTGCAGCCTTTAAAACTAAGCATTCCACCCTACATTATACCATCGATACACATCAAATCTCTGTCAAGGACCGCAACATGCTCGTCTCGTACCTTTTCGCCTGTGCACAAGCAGCGAAAGTTCTCCGAAGCAAGCGGAGTTTCGTCCTTTAGTAGACGCATGACGATTCTGCCGGCGCGAACTCCAGCTATCGAGATGTCCATGTAAACACTGGGATCGCTGTCCTTCGTGATGCAGCCCTTCTTGCGTTCTTGCAGACTCAAGCTAGCGCCATCCACATATCGACTTGCTAGTTTCCGAAACAGCTCGTCTTCACGACCACGATACGTTTCGAGCGTCCGATCGATACTAGTTAACTTGTCGGGATTGTACTTGGTGTAAAACTCCACCAACCGATTCCTGAACGCATCATGAGACGCTCGAGGCAGCACAATCCCGTCGCTCTTATCGTCATTCGAGCTGCTACCAGGTACACTCCAGTTCCCTACGCTCTCTTTAGTCGGACTAGAGTCCAATCCGTAGCCTCTCTGCAGCAACTTTTCTGCCAGACTCGATTCCACGCTGTCTGTCTCTGCTTGCATAAACCCTTCTGCTCCGCCTATTTTCGCAGCTTCCTCCATCAACGACTGGCGCTGTTTGCGCCACGACTGCTGGGAACGTATTCGAAATGCCGTCTGCGACTCTGAGTCACAGCCAATAAAACTGCTGAAGCTGTCCGAGCCACCTAACAAGCTGGCCTTCTCCTTGATCTCCCGTGCCACTCGCTCGAGATCGTCCAGTACTGGCGCAGACCGAAGCGATTTCCCCGCCTCCCACTTTTCACGTGACTTTTTCATAAACGCTGTTGCCATCGCCACGCCTTCGGGATCAGTCAAGACTTTACCATCGTCCATCGAACTGCTGTTCCACTACCGCGAAAGCATACAAGACGATCCCCCATATGACAGTCCAATCATGGAGTCAGAAGTAGAATCGGTAGTAAGAAGCCACGCTATGGGATACGTACGGGGACGAGCCGTAGCGGGTGGCGCGGGAGCTCTTCGTCATCAATCATAACTCCGTGTTCAGAACGTTCTCGGAATACATATGACAAGAGAATTCATCGATGTGTATACCGAACGGTGTATACTCCCCAACGCGTCCATCGTCGCAAACCCACCCTTTTGGTCCGTTCTGATTTGTTGTAACTCGCTTCGCGTCCGCGATTGGTCAGAATGAGCGGGTGGTGCGGAGCTCTTCGCGACCGGAGCTCTTCAGTAGTGATGGACCGCCATCGCACTTCCTCTTTCGTTTCCCACTCGCCCTCTCTCTCTCTCTCACTTGTAGTCAATATGGTGTTCGAGAAACCGATCGTCGTCGACTGCCGAGGCCACTTGGTCGGCCGTCTCGCCTCACTGATCGCCAAGGAACTTCTGCAGGGCCAGCACGTCGTGGCTGTGCGCTGCGAGCAGCTCGAGATCTCCGGCTCGCGTACGTCTTTGTGAATGTTGATCGATCGATCGATCGATCTCCTGTATTGGTCCACACGGCACTTCCTCAGTAGTACTAGGACTGTATTCACTGCATCGACGCATGGCATCATCACTGCGTGCCGCTGGAAGCATCGTCTGTCGCTTCCGTAGAGACGATTTGGGTGTGACAAGGAGTGCTGTCAATTGAGTTTAGTTGCTTACCTTCTCAGTACTGGTCAACCATCGATGTGGACTCCATGAGCTCGCCACTCGATCAGCTTTGCTTTCTCATTGACTTCCACGTCAGGACGTTCACTTGTGTTACTGCTGTAACGCTGTGGGATGAGGGAGAAAATGACCTCAGCATTGAGTTGAGTACCTTGTTCAGCAAGTGAATGCGAAGGTGAAAGCTGAAGAAGTGCGAGGGAGAGTCACATAGACGAAATGCCGTTGGTGCAACCTCCTTAAACATGCAAAAGTCGCTGCGTGCAGACTCCTTGTTGAGCTACACGACGTCTTCGGACGCTCGTGTAGAGATGCAGTGGTGGTCATGCCGTCTGTTTGTGAGTGTGGGTGGAGTCAAGAACGGATTCCTCATGTGATCTGCTCTTGCTTCTGCGTATACAACAGACGTGCGCAACAAAGTCAAGTTCTTGCAGTTCTTGAACAAGCGAACGGCCACGAACCCGAAGAAGGGTCCGGTCCACTACCGGGCACCGTCTCGTATGCTTTGGCGTACGATCCGTGGCATGCTGCCTCACAAGACGGCCCGTGGTGCTGCTGCTCTGCAACGCTTGAAGGTAAGGAGACTCTTGAACGTGGCTACCTGATTGACTGGCTGTGGTGTACTGATGTTGAAGTTGATGGATGGACCGGACTGTAGGTGTTTGACGGTATCCCGTCTCCGTACGACAAGCAGAAGCGTATGGTCATCCCAGCTGCTCTGCGTGTGCTACGTCTGAAGGCGAACCGCCGCTACACGGTCTTGGGCAACCTCGCCTCGGAAGTTGGCTGGCGTCACGCTGAGCTGGTCAAGCGTCTCGAAGCCAAGCGCATTGTCAAGTCGGACGCCTTTTACAAGAAGAAGGTCGCTCAGCAGAAACGTCTGGCTGAAGCCGAGGCGAAGGTCCTTACTGAGAACGCGGAGTTGAAGCCGACGCTTGCCAAGTACGGACATGCTCTTTGAGATGGAGTAGGGTGACGCTTTCAAGCGTGCTACCAGTAGCTACTGCATCGCTTGCTTTCTAATGACAATGGACATGTTTGAGGATATTCTACAAGTGACGAATGAACGTACTAATGTCGTCTTTTTTTGCAAAAGGATAGTGGGTACTTGATATGAGTAGAGCCGTATCCGTATCACGTAATTGAACCATCACCAGGTCCATTTTTTTTCTGCTACCAGAGGCACCAAAGGGAGTACAGCGCTGACTTGTAACAATGACTCCGTCCCGCGCAGGAATGGGGCGAGGTTAACCTGTCCTGCGTCCCATCCCGCGCAGGACGGGATGGGACGCAGGATACCGAGGACGAGTTCATGTGATATTTACATACATATATTTCGAAACGATCATATCTGCATTCGCACTTTGCGCTGAGGGTATTAACAGATGATAATAATTGTTAAATGGTGACATTTTTCTATCTGATAAGTGTTAGCCTGCTACAACAAGGGCAGAAGCTGGATGCCTTATCCACTCGATATAAATCGGTGTGACGATTGCAGACTCATGTCAGCAGGACTCTTTTAAACTCGACGGTAGCGGCATTATAACGGGGTAGCTTGATATATGATATTGATACCAATCGGTGTCAATGGGGAGATTGCCTAGAGTGACAATTTCCTGCCGACATACCCGGGATAGGTAATAATAAAGGAATTTATCCCCTTTTAGGATAATATTCATGCGCTGTTCAAAGATCGGTTGATTAAAGACATGTCAACCACGATTACCGCCAATCGCTGCTAGACGAGCGTAATGAGTGGCGAGCAGGTTGTCGTCGTACGACGACGTAGATTACTTAGTTGGATTAAGACTGAAGTTTGATTAATAGCTTAGCTGAAATAAATACAGTTCTCTTTTTGCCTTTACTCAAAATAGCAGTTTAGTAGATTAGATTTCTCTGCACGTACTAGTGTACGTGAAGTTTCGTGGCACTCCAAACAAAGGGTGCCCGTTACACCTGGTAGCACTTCGTATTCCGTCCAACGACTACTTAGTTCCCGTCCAACATGAACATGTTCGACTAGAAGACGACAGCTTTCACGTCACACGTGAAGGCTACTCCCATCTGAGTGACTCAGAATTGGAGATTGTCGGCCGCATGAGTGTGCTCATGGGCGAACCCGCCATCAGTGGCATGTTGGCGTCTCTAAACAGAGACCAACAACATGACACTATCAACAAATTCCTACAAGGGGGGAAACTTGCTGTCGAAAGACAGAAGATAGCCTTGCTAAAACAGCAAGGCTCTCATCAGTCGACGGGCGGGCTGATGCACATGCGTCGACCCGAAACCTTCAAGACCGATATCCTAATGTACAAGGGAACCTATGAAGGTTTCCTTTTGAGATGGTTTGTCGAGTTAGACGACGCCATTAGGGCCCGTCACATGAGATTGACAAGATGCAAGTCACCTTCACTCTGTCAAATTTGACAGGACGAGCAAAGACTTGGGTCTTAGGGCTCAAGCTTCACGACCCAAAAACTTTTATAGGTCAGTATAGATCTTAAAGTCTCGTCTTGAACAATCGTTTGAGCCACCAAGAGCCGAGTTCAGGACACGCTCTGCACTCCTGAGGCTCAAAGAAGGTAAGCGTGATGTGCACGCTTACGCACAACATCTACGCTACCTTGCGAGCAGCGTCACGGAATACCCTGTTGATGAGCACACGCTCACTAACATGGTCATCTACGGTCTTGTAGATGGGCCGGAAAAGACCTACATGTTCCGAGATGATTTCCATACACTGGAAAAGGCGATAGCGTATGCGGAACAAAAAGACTTAAGCCTGAGACAGTCACAGGCTAACTCGTCCGACTATCGTCCGACGAGGCGACAGGAAACAGGAGGTCCCGAACCAATGGACCTCTGTTACATCGAGAGCGAGAAATCTCGCTCTCTGAGTCACAAGCGAACAGCAAGATGCCATCGCTGTCAGAAGATCGGACACTACGCATATTAGTGTAGTGTCCCAAGCACCGCATCACGTCCAAAGACAGGACGTGATGACCGCCGTTGGCCAAAGAAAGGTCCAAGGCGCAGGTCCGACCATGTCGCTACGCAGCGACAGCAAGTCGGACCGCCAAAAAACGGACAGGGTCAGTAGGGGCGGGGCATTCTGCTGATCTAATAACGTCAAGATAATTTGCAGGGCTCTTGACGGAGGATGCTCCCAACACACAGTCTCGGTATGTTACTGATGAGGAGTCCTTCACCCTTTTTTGAAGATCGAGGTGACGCGTGGAATTTCACTTCGCGTCCTAGTTGACTGTGGGGCGTCGAACAGTTTTATATGACGGCAGTCGCTAGAGGATAGTAGGATTAACTATGTTGAGCTAGAGTTTCCTCCAACGAAGATGACGTTGTGCCTTGCAACAGGCGCATCCGTAACATTAAACAAACGTGTAGTTGGAATCCACTACACGATAGAAGGAAAATAGTACGATGATGACTTCATCGTACTAGATTTGGATGTCAAATTCGACGTCCTCGGTCTGCCATGACTCATACATACGCGCCAAGGGTGAGCTGGCAGCATCAATCCGTGAAGATGCCAGTTGCATTTTTATCAGATGGTCATTTGATGAACGTCTTGGAGCGTCCACAAGCGTGTGGATGTGCTACGAGTGAGTGCGATGGCCTCACTTGTGGTGCGGGCGTTAGTAAGACTGCAAAAGATCACAGTGTAGAAGGCCACTACACTGTGGAACCAGCTTTATGCACCTGCTTAAAGACACACGATGTGCCAAAGGTTCACCACTTGAAAAGATCGAGTGGTCTGGATCATGGATGCACACCAAGCAGGGTGCATCCAAGAAGAGAGATCAGTGTTTTTCAAAATGAGCAATACCTTACGGCGAGATCGACTAACAAAGAGTCGATCGTAAAGCAAGCCCGATTGACAAAAAGACAGTCGATCAAAGAGGACATGAATGTGGTAGTGCACCTACGGTCAGAACACGCATTGTAAGAAAGCTCCAGCGTTCCTGAGAATGATGACTCCCGAGAGAGTTACGTTGAAGGTGTGGATCCTTAGCCGCCTGCGGATGTGTTATCCCAGGCAATCACCGAGACAGTGAATGCCTTGGTGAATGACGGATCAAGTGTAGGCGCTTATGCACTTGATCTGGTTGCACATCCTCATAGTCAGCTTCGGATGTAGTCAAGTTTTCAGCGCTAGAATCTAAAAGATTCTTGCGAGATCTGCGTAGTGACAAGATCAAGCAGATCTGCGTACTCGTCACAAAGGACGAGTACGTCGCCGATATTCGGTCGGCACACGTGTTTACTGAGGACAAACGGGTTCTCAGTTGCTCATCGATGGAAGAGAGTGTCCTCAATGAGAAGACTCGGATTGAGCGATACACGTCTCAATCTTGGGAGTCCTTGAAGACAAATACTTTGTATAAGGATTTGGTTGAATTCAAGGATGTTTTCCCGGAATCCGTGCCATGCGAGTTGAATCAGGATAAAGGTACCCGACATGAAATCGAACTGAACCCCGGTTCGAAATACTGTGTCATGAAGTAGTGGCCACTGCCTCGTGAGAAGGTCACAGCGATTGACAAATTCTTTTGCCGATCGTTAGCGGCTGGTCATGTGAGAGAATCAACATCCCCACACAGCTCTCCGATCTTCTGTGTGCGAAGGGCCGCAGGAGGGTGGCGGATAGTGCACGTATTCAACAAATTATACACCGCAACGGTACCGGCTCAAACGCCGATACCAAGGAATGACGTCATCATTAATGGTACGGCAAAAAGTACCATCTTTTCGTCCACGGATCTGATGGATGGATTCCATCAGATCCTAATGCGTGAGCGAGACATATCATACACAGCAGTGAGCACCCCCAGTGGTATGCTCAGGATGTGGCTAGTGATGCCACAGGAGCCGAGTAACGCCCCCGCAACGTTCAACATATGTGTTACGAATCTGTTGCGATCGGTGCGCGATTTTGCACCGAGTTACTTTGATGATGTCTATGTCCACAGCCGGGCTATGGATGAAAGACGGACGTGGAGGTTCATAGAATCCACTATCGGAAGGTTCTTACACTCATGCGTGAGCACAAGTTTTTGCGAGCCTTAAGAAGTGCAGATTCACAGCGAGTGAAAAAAGCACTTCCTGGCTGCACAGTGGGTAAAAACGGCGTACGCCCTGATCCGGAAAAGATTAAGACGATTAGCGGCTGTCATGTGCCAGTCGACGTCATGGGAATTCGAAAGTTCCTTGGCTTAGCGGCGTAATCACAAAATTACTCATGCAACTTAAAAAACGTCAAGATGATCGTTCGTCTCTCTCATCTTTTTAAAAGAGCGAAAAGTGGTCATGGAGTGTTGATTGTCAGCATTTGCTTTGAATGTATTAGGATTAGCTCCATGTGATCGCCCATCTTGGCGATTGTAGATCATAAAAGACCATTACACGTGTTCTGTGACGCCAGCAAATTTGCAATTTGATGCGCGTTAATGCAGAATGACTCAGACGGAATTGAGCGCGTCGTCTGTTATCAATCGCGTCAGCTGTAAGCAGCTGAGCACAACTATCCAGTGCATGACAAGGAACTTCTTGCCATGAAACATGCACTGGCTAAGTTCCGGGTATATCTCTTAAGAGATAGGCCCTTCATCGTTTATACCGACCATGCGTCGTTACGCACGGCCGTAATCAGTCCACACACCTTGCAACGAATGGCGAGATGGCTGTCTTTCTTCGCGGAGTACAATTTTTCCGTCGAGTACAAACCAGGACGACTCAATTTCGTCGCTGATGCTCTTTCGCATCGGCCCGATTTCGAGCTGACTGCTCAACTCAACTGTAGGGGTGATTCCACTGTAGCGACACTAACAGTGAGTGTTCTGTCGTCGAATCTGCTCGACGACGTGCGAAGAGCATGCGCAGAAGATGAGTCTCTTCTGCGATTGATGGATTATGCGTATAATCCTCGAAGTCAAGCCT